TGACACAGGTTTGCAAGGCCTAGTGGGACAGAGGTAAATCGTGATCCATACTCAACCATGGAACAACAGGGCTCTGGGATATAGGGAGCTAGGTATAGCTTGAAGAGGGTAAATAATACTAAAATCCTTGACTGCCTTATGAATATTAGTTTCTCTTGCCTACTGCTGTAAAATAAGACCCTTGAGTGGGAATGAAAGGAATGTTGGGAAACATGATTAGAGAAAACTTGTAAGCCCGTCTTCAGCCTATAACTGATTGGAATACTTGAAAGGGGTTCTACAACTTGCCCAGTGAAATAGGCCTTGTGCAAAGCCTTTACAGAGTATAGGGCCTTAGGTGGAATCCTGAGTCCCATCCACAACCTTGTGAGGTGAGAAATTCCCACTAGAAAGGACAAGCAGACTGGAACAGCTACAGTGACAGAAGATACATCTTCATGATGAACCTAACCTATACTCAGAGCAGTTGTTGTTGTTGTTGTCAGGTGCCATCAAGTCAGAACCGACTCATAGCGACCCCATGCACAGCAGAACGAAACAATGTCCGATCCCTGGCCAACCTCACTACCGCCACCACACTTGATGCCATCAATGGTCAATGAATTGTAATATAACTAAGCTTAATTTTATTTATAATTTTGTAAGATGAAAACTACTTTTCCCCTATTATTCCATGGAAATGTTTCATGAAAAACAAATACCTATCATAAATTAGACCATTAACTCCAAACTCCTTCAATTTCCTTCTGTTTTCAGGGTCATTGGTGTCATCACCCCAGCAGAATATGACTAGTCCTTTAGCTTTTGCTTCTTGAATGTAGGATGGATTTCTGAGCAGGTCTTCAGTATGTGCATTTATCCCCTAAAACAAGAAAAGTGACTTATTCACAGCAAAGCTTACATGGTCATATTCTACTAGATCAGTGATCTCCAAATTGAAGTGGGCAGAGAAAGAAAATGTTAGAAGTTTTTTTTTTACAATATATTTTGTCCCATTATAAAGGTTTCTTTTTAGGGTATATTTTCAATATATATTCTTATTAATAACATCCATATATAATATGTAACATACAGGTAGTAGAAGTTTGTGTTGAAAGACTGCTGGAAGACTTTACCAAACAAGCCGAGAATCTATTCATTTTTAAATGATTCACAAATCCACTTACAAGACAAAAGTACAAAACTGAACTTAGGCCTAAAAGAAAATGTTTGCTTTTGTTCATTTAACAGCTTTTCATTTCCTGAGATCTAACATCTTCATTTTTCAGTAGAGCTATTAATAATTATTAGACTCTCTTTCCCAGTTAGCTGTGTGAAGTAATATGAAACTTTATCTACTACTTTGGTAAAACGTAACATAAAAATGCAAACACAGTTTACCAGCAGATTTTCAAACTGTGCAAAGCTCATTGCAATGGGAGTTGTCCGAGATCTGAGGTCCATAAGTTCTGGGTAAATATCAGATTTCCCTTGAGTCAAAAATAATATAGGATACTTGTTCTGTTTTTGCCGAACCCTGAAAAAAAAAAAAAAAAGTCAATTTGAAAAACTGTTTCAATTGGAAGGATATTTGTAGTATACTCTGTGTTGAAGCTTCAGAAAATAATATAACCAACATTAACTCAGTCAAAATCAAAACACACCTTTAAAAGTTATTTGATACAAAAGCTAAGAGTATCTCAGAAATGGGCAATAAGAAAGCCCTTGAGAGCTTATAATCAAGTAAGGAGATTTCATATGCCTGTAAAATGTAACACTGCATATATGATGCTCAAGGACCTAGGGATACGAATCTCCTAGAAGTGGAGAGCTTTTCTAGCATGCAGTGATATAAAATAGAACGGAAAACAAATACAACCTGAGAGGCCACATCAAGTCCTGTCTACAGTCTAAAAGCATAGGAGAAAAAAACGATGTCACTACTCACATTGTGCAAATATCTGCATCAAATGAAGAAAACACTATTCTCCTCTTTCCAGAATTTTCTAAAACAGTTTTTAAAATTATATCCAAAAACAGGTTCATGTCAAAATATGTTGATAGGTTGCCATCCCATATTCCATCCTATGTAGAAGAAAAATGGTAACCATGACACATCCTGAAATCAGTGTTAGAAAAGTATCTTGAGTATATCTAACCTTTTTATTGCACACATGAGGAAACTAAAGACCTGAGGAGATCAGGTGACTTACCCAGGACCACACTGCTATTTAATGATGGCTCAGTGATCATAATTCTCAGAGAGATTCTTAGATACAAAGCAACAGACTACACCACTAACAGACTTTGACTTTCAGAAAGTTAACAACATAAAAACAGAAACTCTGGAAATTTGTAGTCCACTGTGATGTCAAGGTATTTTAATATGATTTTCAGAGACCGCATGGCAAAAGAACTCTACTTCATTTCACTAACAATTTATTAAAAAACCCTATTAATTACCAGAGCTCCGGGGAACACTCAATACTATCAGGAAAGTTGGTAGTTTGCACCCACGCAGTGGACTACTAGTTTAAAATCTTATTCTTTGGGTCTTAGGCATATAAAAGATGCTCAACAAATAAGAGCCCTGTGGAAACCCAAATAGAAAAGAATTTTAAAGATTAGTCATTAAGCCATTAAAATAACTCCTGACACTTAAAAAACTAAAAAGGAAAAAAAAAAGATAAATCCCCTCTTGGGAAAACTTCAATTTATTTATACTCATCACCATCTGATATATTCCATAGGTATTTGTCGTTTCCCCCCAATCTCTAGCTCTTTCTCTCTCTCTCTCACACACACACACACAAAATGTAAAGGCAGGGCTTTGTCTGGTGAAAAGAGATGGGGATAAGATTTGTAATATTCAATAGTGAGTAACTGTTATCATGACTAATCGCAACTGTCACAATTGTAACAAAAAAAGGGGAGTGGTTAATCTTACAATCCAGAAACAGAGGACCCTAGGACCATCAAGAGAGGAACGTACAAGCAGAATGCGGGACCTTATCCAGAGAAGCAGCAGCGCCAGAGATGGAGGCATGGAGAGAGGGAGCTGCTGAGGACTCTAGATTCATGGACTAAGAAGAGAAGGACTAAGAACTGGTGGCCAGGAGTCAGACTTGCAGAATGTACCCTTTGGAGATGTAAATTATTATATATGCCTGAGTGGGGTTTTTTTGTATGTTTTTTAAAAAGCTAAAGTGGATAGAGAGAAATACTGTTAACTGATGGTCATGAAGGGGATTATAATCAATATAATGAAACAAGGTAGATGATTTGTTGAATGTAAAACTGATGATATGCTCTGTCATCAAATTTTCACTCAATCCACAATAAAAACCTTAAAAAAAAAAAAGTGAAGGGAGGAACACAAACAAAAACGTGTACATCAATGTTCATTGCTGCAGTTTCACAATAATCAAAAGGTGAAAAACCACCAAAATGTCTATCAATAGGTAAACAGATAAAGAAAACATGGTATATGCACATAATGTAGTATTACACAGCCGTTAAGAGAAACTATGTTCTGATCCATGCCACTACATGGATGAACCTTGAAACTATTATGTTGTGTGAAATAAGTCAGTTACATGACTCTCTCTCACCTATCTTTGTTAATGGTGGTGAAATATTTTGGAAAAGGATAGTAATAATGGAGGTACAACATGAAAAATGTTAATAAATGTCATTAAATTATAAATATGGGAGTTTTGTACTGGCAAATGTTTGTTGTGTTCAGGTAGTCCCCAACTTACATATATTAAAGTTATGACGTTTTGTTTTTTGTTTTTCTAACATCTTACTATTAGTAATATGTACTATGTACAATGTTGCCATGTATAATTTGATGATTTTATCATGCACAGAAGTGATGTTTCCAAATCCCAAAGATAAAAATTGAATTTATAAAGATACTGACAATAAAGTGGAATAATAATGAAAACTTAGAAGGAAAAAAAAAAAGGCAGGGCTTTATTCTGTTTTGTTCATTACTTATCTCAAGCACTCAGAAAAACGCCTGCTCATAACAACTTTTCAATAAATATTTTTTGAGTGAATGTGTGTATCTGGGCTTGATTAAAAATATACGAACAGAATTTTTTTCCTGGGTTACTATTAATACTTGCTGCTCCCCAACAGAAACTGCTGGGCAATACTTAGAAAGATATGGTTTTATTAGATATAAATCATACTCTGGAAGTATGCTCAGAATCCATTCATGATATTCAAGAGAATATGAGATACTTGTAAAGTAAAATTTTTATAATAATACATTAATCATTAGTTTTAAGAAAGTTCATATAAGGACAAGGAAAGCTAATGGAATTTTTCCATGAACTTTTTGAAGTCACTCATGAGTGTAAGGGATTGGATATATTAAAAGGATTCACTCAAAATGTGTTATGGATGCTAGAGGAAGTCACATGTGGTTTTCTTTTCACTTATTTCAACATAACAAAAAGAAACAGGAATCAAAGAATTCTAAAAATCAAATAGGGGAGGGATGAAAAAATATGTTACTTACCCTTTGTTGGCAGATCCATTTTATTTCGATGTTAAACCCTACATCTTCTGGCAAAGACTCTAAAACCTAGATTTTGTTTATTGGTGATAATTTTTGTTTTCGTTTTGATGAAATGAGTTGTAGATTAAAAAAAAAGAAAACAGAATTATTACAAAAGATGATCAATAAGAAAACATATCATTAGTAAAGATAAAAGTTTTGTGCCAAGGATTAACCACTGTTCTTCCCCATAATCAAATTGAGTTGGCTGATAATTACTATGTCAAATAAGAAAGTATAAGTAGTAAAGAAGGCAACATTTGTGATAACTGATTACCACCATCACAAAGATGGATCCACCATCCTAAAATGCTTTTCACATTAATTTCAACATCTAAAAGCACTGTGGGTTAAAGCACCAGACTGCAAAGCCGTTTGAACTGCAAGGTTGGTGGTTCAAGCTCACCAGCTGCTCCTTGGAAACCCTATACAGGGTCACTATGGGTCGGAATCAACTCAACGGCACATAACAACAACAAAAGCAAGCTGTAGTGAGAAAGACAACTTTATGAGTTCAAGAACACAACTCTCTTGTTTTCTGAATTGCCTATGTCGTCTTCTAAGATATGGTTATATAACGCTTAACAAATACCTTGCTGATAACTCCCAAATAAAGAATATGCTGCAGCTCGGAAATAAATAAGCTGTACTGGTGTGGTGCGGTAGGTTAAGAATTGGAATGCTAACCACAATGTTGGTGGCTCAAACCCACCAGGCTCTCTTTGGAAACCCCATCCGAGGTTGCTACGAGTCAGAATTGACCTCATGGCACTAAGCAATAACAACGCATATGAGTAGTACACAGTTAATCTAAATTATCTAGACACTTTTCAATCAAGGCTATTTTACAGTCATAGCTAGAAAATAAGATTGAAAATATGAAGCTTAGTAGCTAATCTACAAAGAGTTGATTTGTTTGATTTTTTAAAACAATTATAAAAGACCAGGCAAATACATAAACATGTTCAAGTCTAAATGAATTCATTACAGATTAAAAACATTTTTACTTCAATTTATCTCACAGCTTTGAATATCATTTAATACATATAATATAAATGGTATTTAAATGTATAGTGAATTATAAAAATAGAATAATGCAGTGGTAGGTTGGTAGTTGGTGGCTGGAGTCCTGGTGTGGGGCTGTGGACTAATTTGTCAGACTGCAAAGTCGTTTGAACTGCAAGGTTGGTGGTTCAAGCTCACCAGCTGCTCCTTGTACACCCTATACAGGGTCGCTAAGGGTTGGAATCGACTCAATGGCATTTAACAACACCAGGATGGTGGTTTGAACACATCCAGAAACACTGTTAACTTACTGTCCATGGAGCGGACTGCAATCATTGTAATGACACAATGTATATAATTTCTTGAATGTGGGACTGAAGATCTGTTCTGCAAACCTTCACTCAATTCACAAAGTTAAAAAAACCACCACCAACCCCCCCCCCCACCCCGCCCCACCCAAATCTAACAGAATATACCTTCTCTAAAGTGCACCAGTGGTACATTTATATTAATGTTGCACTGGGTCGCTGTGAGTAGAAACTGACTGGGCAGCAAAGGGTTTGGTGGTGGTGATGGTTGTGTGCCGTCAAGTTGGTTCCAACTCATAGTGACCCTATAATAAAGTTTCTGAGGCTGTAAATCTTTACGGGAACAGAAAGACTCAAAAACAATTTGGACATAACAGGATTAATGAGATAGCCTTGTATTAATTTTTGCAAGAAACTTACCATCTTAAGAGAAGGAAATGGCTGATTTTCAGAGAAGAAATTTTCTTCCTCAACCAGAGATACTGAAATTTTCAATAGCAAAAACTCAGTAAACATGACATTACACCAATAACATTTATCCTAAATTACTAGGGGGGAAAATGCTAAAGTAACTATGAAATCCTCTCAGGTACAGTATTTTTTGAAGGCTCTTATATTCATTATTTTTAAACACTGAACCCCATTTCCTACAAGTGTCTTTTATGAAACTAGCTTATACTATTTAATATAAACACAATAATTTGTAGACTCAACAGCAATTCTCAAAATCTTAATATTACTCTTATAAAAGGACTCAAGGAGCTCTGGTAGCATAGTGGTTACGAGTCAGGCTGCTAACCTCAAGGTCAGCAGTTTAAAACTACCAGCTGTTCCATGGGAGAAAAACGAAGCTTTTTGCTCCCCTAAAGATTTACAGACTTGGAAATCCTATGCAGGGTTGCTGAGTTGGAACTGACTCCACGGCACACCACCACCAAAAGGACACACATATAGTGATTGTTGTTTTTCAACGTGACTGAGAGTTGAATCATATAGCTAAGATTTCGATTTGAAATACAAAAAAAAAAACAACCAGCTACTATTATACTTGTGGCACCATTACCATTAAATACAAGACACAATGTAGCTTTAAGAGTAACACAAGAATTTTTTTCTCCAAAGCAGCAAAATTTTCCAGTTGGATAAAGGTAAAGTTTTTTTCCCCCAATTAAAGGTAGAAATTATTATTAGTCATGAAATATCTCTAACTCTGTGAAGTCACTTGTTAAACTATATCATGATTATGCTCTGGGGATAAATCATTCACGTATTTAGCATCTCTTCATAAAGACGTTCAAACTGTATTGTTATCACCAGTGCTGACAAGTGTCTGTTGAGTACCTACTGTAGGCAGAGCCCTAAACGAGTCTCTTGGAATATAAAAAAACACTTTCAGCATCCTTAAGAGGTTTACGTTCTATTTGAAGAGACAAATGTCTACCACACCCACTTAAAAAAAAGTCTCAAATAAATAGTGCTGACTATTAAGTTCTAGACGAGTACAGAATAAAATGAAATTGCAAAAGTATATGGTAGACAAGGTAAGTGTTGAAGAAATTGAGCTACAGAGTGGTTAAGTAAAGTAATTAACTGGTCCAAGGTCACAACTGGTAAATAGTATGAGTGGATTCAAATTCCAGACAGTCTAGCTCTGGAATCAGATTCTAAAGGTTAATTGGTATAAAATCATAAAGAATTTGATTATAAAAGTAAACAAATACAAAGTGGCTCAAATACAAGTAACACTATTCTACATACCTTCATATACTAGGATTTTGTTACTTGGCTTCTGTGTGTCTATTTTTGCATAAAGAAGGAACTTAAGCTCACAAACTTTACTAGTTTGGTAAATGAAAGATGTTTGTTTGGAAATGAAGGCTTTCACTTCTATAAAATTACATTTAGACATTCAAATACTAAATTCACTAACATGGAAAAAGAAATGATGATTAGTGCTAACAATAACAAGAAGTATTTCCATCCTGGTACCTACCTTTCCGATCTTTAGATTTTAGTGCAGTCACATGTGCAAGCTGGAAAACACAGAAAAATACAATCAGGGGGAGAAAAAAACAAAACAAGGTTGAAAGTTCAAGCCTACCATATACTCCACGGGAAAAAAGATGATGCTTGCTTTCTTTTCCCCATAAAGATTTATAGCCTTGGAAACACTATACAGGAATGCTATGAGTCAGAACCAATTCTGTGGCAGTGGGCTTGGGTAGGTATGTGAAGCTAAGATTAACAGAACTGTAACTTGAAAAGCTAGTGAGCTAGAAAAGACTCTAAATCATAGAAGTATCAGTTAAATAAGCAGTTCCATGGAGGCTGGAAAACCTCTGAAATAATATGTCTGAAGGCTGAGAGATGAAATCTCACCATCCTGGTTTCTAAGGAGCAGAATTTCTGTACTTCTTCCAAGGCAGAACTGTATGTTCTTTTGGCAGTTCATGGTACTTTCAATATTCTTTGTCAACATCAAAATTCAAATGTGTCTATTTTTCTATGGTCTTTCTTATTCACAATCCAATTTTCACATGCATATAAGGCAACTTAAAATAACATGACTTAATCAGACACATCTTATCCTTAAACTGACAACTTTGTTCTGGAACACTTTAAAGAGGTCTTATGCAGCAGTATGTATTTGCCTTTTTAACTGCTGCTTCTATGAGTGTTGACAGTGAATTCCAGCAAAATGAAGTCTTTGACAACTTCATTCTTTTTTCCATTTATCATGATGCTATTTGTTGGTCTAGTTGTGAGGGATTTTCATTTTCTTTACAATTAGGTGCAACCCATACTGAAGGCTGTAGTCTTTTAACTTCATCAATGTTTTAAGTCCTCTTCATTTTACCATCTGCATATCACATGTTGTTAATGAGTTTTCTTCAGTCCTGATGCCAAATTCTTCTTAATATAATCTAGTTTCTCGGATTATCTGCTCAGCATACAGACTGAATAAGTATGGTAAAGGATACAACCCTGATGGACACCTCTCCTGATCTTAAACTATTCCATTCAGTATTCCCTTGTTCTATTCTAACAACTCCTTCTTGGTCTGTGTACAGGCTCCTCATAGGCACAATTAAGTGCTCTGGCATAGCTATTCTTCACAATGCTATTCATACTTTGTTATGATCTACAGACTTGGAAGCCACTGCATTGTCAATAAAGCACAAGTAAACATCTTTCTGGTATTCTCTGCTTTCAGGCAAGATCCATCTGACATGTGCAAAAATAGTCCTAGTTCTATATCCTTTTCTGAATCCAGCTTCAATTTCTGGCAGTTCTCTGTCAATGTACTGTTGCACAGTGTTTGGAGTATCTTCAGTAAAATTTTACTTGCGTGTGATATTAATAGTGTCTGATGATTTTCACATTCCATAAGGTCACCTCTCTTTGGAATGGACACAAACATGGATAGCTTTCTATCACAGTTGGTCAGGTAGCTGTCGTTCAAGTTTCTTGGCCTCCAGCACCACAACAGTTTGTTTAAAGATTTCAATCTATAGTCCATCAGTTCCTGGAGTCTTGTTTTTCACCAATGCCTTCAGCGCCTCTTGAACTTCTTCCGTCAGTACTACTGATTCTTAATCATGTGGTACCTCTTGAAATTGTTGTTAAGTGTCGTTGAGTCGATTCCAACCCATAGCGGCCCTGTATAGGGTTTTCAAGGAGGGGCTGGTGAGCTTGAACCACTAACCTTGTAGTTCAAATGACTTTGCAGTCTGATGCATTAGCCCACAGCGCCACACTAGGACTCTGCTGGGTTATATGAAGAAAAATGTGGCATCAGGATTGGAAGAAGAATCATTAACAACTTGTGATGTGCAGATGATACAACCTTGCTTGCTTAAAGTGAAGAGGACTTACAATACTTACTGACGAAGAACCAAGACCACAACCTTCAGTATGGAGTATATCTCAATATAAAGAAAACAAAAATCCTCACCTCTGGCCCAATAAACAACATTCTTATCAGTGGAGAAAAGACTGAAGTTGTCAAGAACTTCATTCTTCTTGGATCAACCATCAATACTCATGGAAGCAGCGGTCAAGAAATCAACCAACGTATTGCATTAGGCAAATCTGCTACACAAGACCTTATTAAAAGTGTTGAAGAGCAAAGCTGTCAGCTTGAAAATTAAGGTACACCTGACCCAAGCCATGGTATTTTTAATTGCCTCATATACATGTAAAAGTTGGACCATGAATAAGGAAGACCGTAAAAGAATTGATGCTTTTGAGTTATGGTGTTGGAGGAGAATACAGAAAGTGCCATGGGCTGCCAAATGAACTAATAGATCCGTTTTGGGAAAAGTGCAGCCAGAGTGATCCTTGGAGGCCAGGATGGCCAAACTTCGTCTCTCGTACTTCGGACATATTGTCAGGAGGCACCAGTTGCTGGAGAAGTATATCATGTTTGGTAAGGTGGAGGGTCAGAAAAAAAGAGGAAGACCCCCAGCGAGATGGAATGGCAAAGTGGCAGCATCAATGGGCTCAAGCGTGGCAACAATTGTGAGGTTGGCCCAGAACTGGGCAGCGTTTCACTCTGTTGTGCAAAGGGTCGCTATGAGTGGGTACCGACTCGATGGCACCTAACAACAAAACCTCTTGAAATAGTTGAACATCAACCATTTCTTTCAGGTACAGCGACTCTCTGTATTCTTTTTCATCATCTTTTGATGTTTTTTGCATTGTTCAGTACAGTACCCAATGCTGTTGTTGTTGCTGTTAAGTGCTGTTGAGTCAGTTCCAACAAAGCGACCCTGTATAGGGTTTCTGAGGAGCAGTTGGTGAGCTTGGACTGCCGACCTTGTGCTTCACACCAATTTTGCAATCCAGTGCATTAGGACTTCATTGTTGTTGTTAAGTGCCGTTGAGTTGGTTCTGACCCATAGCGACCCTGTACAGGTTTCAGAGGAACAGATGGTGAGTTTGAACTGCTAACCTCGCAGTTCAAACAGCTTTGCAGTCTGGGGCTTTAACCCACAGTGCCACAGCAGGACTCCATAGACTCCTTCAATATTGCATGTCGAGGCTTGAGTTTTAAATTCAGTTTTTTAAGCTTGAGAAATGCTGTGTTTTTCCATTTTGGTTTTCTAACTCCAGGTCTTTGCGTATTTCATTATAATATTTGACTTTGTCTTCTCAAGTTATCTTATCCTCTGGTATTTTCTGCTCAGTTCCTTTACCTCCTCATTTCTTTCATTTGCTTTAGCATCTCGGTACTGGAGAGCAGTTCAAAAGTCTTTTCTGACACCCCATCTTGGTCTTTTCTGTCTTTTCTTTTTAATGAGCTTTTGTTTCTTCCTGTACGATGTCATCCATCCCACAGCTCTCTGGTCTTTAGTCATCAGTGTGTAATGCATTAAATCTGTTTTTGAGATGGTTTCTAAATTCTGGTGGAATATATTCCAGGTCATATTTTGGCTCTTGTGGATTTGTTTTCATTTCCTTTAGCTTCAGTCTGAACTTGCATATGAATAACTGATGGTCTGTTAAAACAATAATTTAGTTTATCTAGCAAAAAATGGCTGCCTTGATATTCTTTTTAAGAACTATCTGGGAATAATTTGACAACAGAAACTAACAAGATTACATACAAAACTTAGTGGGCAGTAAGTTTATGTTAACAGGGGAAGACTAACTTGGAAAATGAGAGTGAGAATGGTTGTACCTGCAATCAAGCCCAGTGAACTGTACTTGTGCAAACTGCTGAATACGTTTTACTGTATATGTGAAGTCTTAGTGTGATGCTACTGGATAATGCAGGGTTGGAGGTTCAAACTCACGAGCTACTCTTTGGAAACTCTATACAGGGTTGCTATGAGTTGGAACCAATTAGATGGTACTTAACAGTATATATTGTCAGGAACAAAAACAATTTTTTTTTTAAAAAAAAGCACTCACGACTGTGTAAATACTTTCTATGCATATACATACACAAAGGTCATAACCTAAAAGTCAAATAAGGATGTAAAATGTAAACTTTCCTAAGTCAGGAATCTGTTTATATTTAATCTACCATTTATTTACTTAATGGGGAAGAGTAGAAGATCCCCCCAAAATCACATAGTATGATAAAATAAACATAGCTCTAAGAAATTAATAAAAACCAACTATTGAATAAAAGGCAAATATTACTGTGAAGTAGTGTGTTGTATAGAAAAAGGTTAAGTAAAATGGACCAGAGGCCAACCTAAGACAATGAAAAGGGCAAGTTCCCATGTCTATAAAGTTTATGGTCTAGACCCTTCACAAATTCCCTATAAAGGCAAGAATAAGTAAAGATAAAGGAAATGCTGTTATTATCTGCTACTACCTTTAACAACTGAAGTTGGTCAAATGTTAACTCCTTCACTGGAATTTCAAATAATTCAGCTGGATCAGCATCAAATTTCTAAAAAGAAAAAGAGAAAAAACAGACCCTCACATTATTACTCAAACATATAGGTGTTAGACCTAGCATCTCAATTTACTGGATGATGATTACATGCAGGAAACCCTTCTTATGTAACATCACCATCCGACTCTTAAATTCTGGTGTTTGTTTGTTAATACAGGTGGAACGGGAGCAGTAGAAAAACACAGCGAGCAGGAAGCTGTGCATTGAAGACCCAGGAGAGTCAGAAGCCCGTAATTTTCCCTATTTCATCATGTTGTATGCATTTTCTTTGACACACACTAGTGTTAAAAAAAAACACCAAAAAACTAGGAAAATCAACAGGTAAGTACTATATAAGGATTAATTTCTATCAGTAGGTTTTTAAGCTTGTCTAAGCCTTAGTTTGGTTAAAAAGAGCTAGAAAAATCAATTGTCATTAAAAAGAGTTTTCTAAACTAAAATGGAAAACTGCTATAAGTACTAATGTTTAACAAGATCTCTGATATATTATGAATTTTTTCCCAATTAGTATCATATCAATTGCCATGCTAAACTTCTGTCTTAAGGAAATGAGTCAATGTACCATTTGAATCAATAATAAAACAAGCACACAAAGATGTTCTGATGCCCACAGTGCAAGCCTGCATGTGCATAAACTATGTCAGGCAGATCACCAAAGAAACTATTAGGAGTAAGGTAGTGAGACAAAGGAAAAAAGAAGACTTTAAGTTTTTCATTTCACAATCTTCTGAACAATTTGCATTTTTTATAATAAATATGAATTGTTTAAGAAAAATACTAGCTTAATCAAAACTTAAACTAAAAAATACATACAAGTCATTAATTAGTTCATTACCCAAATAACTCATCCAGGTTCAAGTTCAGAGCAAGTCAGAGTCTGGTAAAAACTGGGGATGAGTAAGTAATCCTCTTCAATTAATCCCTCATAGATCTTTAGAAACAAGTTACAGATATATGCATTAATCTCAATCTTAATCAGATCCTTTGGCAAGCCATTCCTTGTCATCTCACCTCGAATTAATACTCCCCCCACAGTAAAATCAACCTGCTCAATTTCTGTTTCGCTATTCTACTTTTGTTGTCTGAACAGATGCTCCTCCTTTACTCCACTTCCTAACTGCATCTCAGAAGAGAGATAGTACACGTTTTTCTATAATCTTAACTTCAAACGATGCAGACTATAATCCACTCACAGGTAGAGCCATATGTCTCGTTGTATTCTCTTAGAACCCTTCTATATGCAGTGTCTGGTTTGGTTTAAGACATGTTAGCAAGCTGGCCTTATTTAAATAAACTCAGCAGAAAATAATATCCAACAGAGTTTTAAAGAAAATGCCAAAGGAACCCTCACAGTGTATAAATCACTTGATACATTTGCAGAGAAATCACTTGATATATTTATATACCACAGTTTATGGACTGTTCAGTTATCACAAATATTTTTACACTAAGAATTACAATTTGGAAAACAAATTATATGTATTTCAAAATTCCATCAAGGCCTCCTTCCATTCTCACCATCTTTATCAGTTCAGACCTACTTGCCCTTTGACTCACAGTACTGATTCCTTTACATCTCCATCTGCTCAAGTTTATATTATACCAACTACCAAAATATTCATTCTGAAGTTTATTTCATTTCTAAGAATATATTTATTTTATTATAATTCCTTGTGAAGTTAAAAAACAGAAGTGGACTTTTCTAAACAGGGATTATTATAAAACATCAAAGGGCCATGCCATTCAATAGCAAAATGCATCAAACATTTAAAAATGTTAAGAGAACAGGTGGAATCAATCCTTGGGTATTATGCCAGGTTTGAGCAGCACACCTGTGGTACAATTACTGCCTCCACTACACATGGAGAAAGACGAGTCACAAGTGGAGAAGTGATTTGGCAAAGACAGAAGACTATTGCTCTTTAATGCTCTGCTCATTGCTTCCCCATTGTGTTAATTTGCTATTCCTGATCTTCTTTACAGAGGGCCACCTTGTGTAGCTGCATAATTTCCTCTGCAGATTTTTAGAGCAGCAGGATGGTAGAGGGCCATACAGACAACAGGTATTCAAGCATCAAGATTGGAGAGCTGTGATACAAAGATGGTTTCCGATCCAAAAAATCCTGGTTGCACTGATGTAACAAGATATTGTCCTCCCAAAAACACTTCATTAGGGCCACAGGTACATTATCATCAAATGCAGTTGGCTTAACCCTGGCCAGGAATCAAGAGGGCTACATCATACATATATTGGCTGTTCTTCAGAACAAGTCCAAATTAGGGAACAAAGGAGAAGCTGCCCTCCTAAAACCTGCCAACCCTCCATCTGGCAACAGGGAATAAGAAATTGTTTTGTTGTGACATTTGTTGTTGTTGTTAAGTGCCATCGAGTCAGTTCTGACCCATAGCGACCCTGTATAGGGTTTCCAAGGAGCAGCTGGTGAGCTTGAACCGCTGATCTTGCAGTTCAAACGACTTTGCAGTCTGGCGCATTAGCCCACAGTGCCACACCAGGACTCCCTGTTCTGATGTTTAGTTCTGAGCATTTCCTTTCTCTGTCTGCCATCCCTCCCTAGCTCCCAAGTTGAATCCCCTCAATCTTACTGAGACCTTCCACTATGTGCGTCCAAACCTTTGCTCCAGTTTTTTGTTTGCTTATTTCTACTGTGGCTCTTCCTGCTTCAGTTACATAATACAACATGGCTTATTAACTAGAAGAAAAGGATTGAAGCAGAAATAGATGGGCAACTGAAAAATTAACCATGCTATCCCCTCCTCCTGTCTCAATGCAGTGACAGTGGCTGACAGAGAGAACCATGGGCAATGTCACTTGGTTAAATAATATGAAGAAGCAAATTTAGGAAAACAGAGATCTGCTCTAGGAAATTAATATTCCCAAGTCTTCACACTGATGTTCTGGGAACTTGAGAGAGGAAAGTACTCATAGCAATTCACCGAATGAGCTATTTAAATAGAGAATTGACTGTGTCTATTTAATAAATAATTAGGAACACAACGAACTTCCTGGTATTCAATCCTCAAGATGAATTTAAAATGAAGGCCTTTCAACCTACCTTTTTCATAGTCAAACAACAGGTGAGATCGTGGTAGACCACAGGCACAAAATCCTTTGAAAGATGTACATCAAATTCTACAAAGGCTGCACCCTGAATAGAGAGACAGGAAGTTAAGTATCTGAAAAGAAAACAAACCATGATCTGGCCCATAATACATCTAAAACTACCCCAGGAGATGAGAAAATTATTATTCTCTATAAAGTTATAAAACTGTAAACAGAAGCATAAAAAACTTAATCATGAAATATCTAATGCTACACCTTCAAGCTTTTTCTAAAAAATAATTTCTTCCCTTAAAACCAATATAACGGTTTTATCTTTTATTTTTGTACTAGCAGAGCAATTCTTTTTTCCTGAGCAAAAAAAAAGGGGGCACTGATCCACTTAAAACACCTATGGCGCCTAAGTGACAATGATGCAGCCTTCAAAGGTGTTGCATCTGCTACTCCTATCAGGAGCCTGGGGCCAAGGGCTAGTTGACTGTGCCAGCCCTGCCCCCCTCAGCTGGTCAGGTGACTCTCAGAGATAAGCCAGCCAGGAAAAGAACAAGCTGCAGAGCCTCTCACAGGAGCCCCACATTTTACAGCCTTTCTGAACTGGATTAAAGAGGAATTGGCAACTGCTGCTGGAAAGAGAAAACAGAATCAGGCACAATGAATGCCAGATTTCCTGAAGAAAGCCTAAATGGACAAAGAACTATGGTAAGGCGATATTTTGAAAAGTCAGCTGCAGAAAGCGAATTCAAAGAAAGGATGACAACAAAAACTGACATACAAATGCATACAGTCACCGAAAGAAAACCAGCTAAAAACTAGAATCAAGTGAACAGTATCTGAGAATTCTGAGACCCACAAAAGTGCTATACAAGAATAGATTTCCACCCCTTACTTGGCTTCTGTGACTTCAGTCAAGGAAGTTTTCTCTACCTGTGGCTACATAAGGGTACCAGATAAAGCCAAAAGTACTCAAAGTTCTGGTTATAAAGCCTGCTTCCTTGATGACTTCCAAAATAGGAAACTTGACTCCTTAGGTTATTTAAAACAAGACAGTATCAGAAACCATTCCTACCAAAAGGAGCACACCCTATCCCTCTACGTAGTTAAAAACTAGTAAATATTTTAAATTATAGCTTTCTAGTAATTATCCTTTTAGAAGGTAATTTTACTAAGAGGTAACTCAAATTCCGGTTTCACAATTCATGTGTGAGCTTTAAGAAGTAAAGCAGTAACAGAAAACCACCTCAAATATTTTTAACATTAAAAAAAAATAACATACCAATAGTAATATGTTGTTGTTAAGTGCTGTCGAGTTGGTTCCAACCCATAGTGACCCTGTACAGTGTTTCCTAGGCTGTAAATCTTTATGGGAGCAGAAAGCCTCATCTTTCTCCCACGGAGTGGCTGGTAGTTTTGAACTGCTGACCTTAAGGTTCACAGCCCGTTTCATAACCACTACGCAACCAGAGCTCTTTAATAATAATATAAGATGTTCTAAAATGTGACCCATATGAATTATAAAGGATTTCATCAATATGTGGAAGATGCAGGCTTAATGACAACCTCTCTTAAAACCATGGAGACCTTGAAAATTGGTTAATAGTCTCATTACATAGTCAGAGCCAATGAAATTACTTTTAGGATAGTTACAATGGAATAAAACTGGTTCCAATTTATAAACTACAACCCAGCACACTGACAGATTATTAACATCCTTTAAACACAAAGATCAAACTATACACTGTTAATATTGGTATTTTAAGGTATTAAACAATTAATCTAAGATGTTGGTATTATAAAATGTACAATTATTTTATATAACACTATTGTTACTGATGCTAAGTGCTGTGGAGTTGGTTCCAACTCATAGAGACCCTGTATAGGGTTTCCAAAGAGTGGCTACTGGGTTTGAACTGCCAACCTTTTCATTAATAATCTAATGCTTATCCTACAGCACCACACCAGGACTATTATATAACACTAAGAGAAGAAATGTTACCGTTCAAGAAAATTTCAAGGTCCACTTTCAAGGGTAGAGCTGTGGGTTAATGTGCTGGACTGCAAAGTCGGTTTCAACAAAGTCGGTTTCAACTGTTCAAGCTCATCAGCCGTTCCTTGGAAACCCTATACAGGGTCACTGTGGGTCGGAACTGACTTGATGGCACTTAACAATAACTATAAAAACAGTTCATCTTTTGGATGGATGTCTATAAAAGTGATAAAGTTAAACACCTAAGTTTACCAGATGAACCATGTTTTAAAAGGCAAACTTTATAAGGCATATAAAGAACGCAGTATAATAGGAAATAATAGAATGTGATGGTCCTCCATTTCTCCTATTTAAATTTCTTTTACCAGGCTTTCTAGACAGGCAGAGAAGAGAACACGCAGGTTCTTGATTTTTAATGCCAAGATAGTTGCTGAAAAATTATAAAAGCTAGACACAGATTTCTTCCTGATCAGGTAAAAGAAAGGAGTTAAGAAATTTATAATATAATTTTTAGTTAAGTTGTATGCAGGATGCAAACTGATACTTTTAAATTGTTGCATAGAATTATCAAGTTTTCCTATAAACATTATTTCTAAAGTAGATATCTGAATAAGCACATTATATTCCATTTAATGAAAAGCAGTGCTTAATGGGGAACTCTTCTTCCTCAATCACTCAAAATTTGTTATCTCTAAATCAAGATGCTTAGGATTCCATTGCTCTCATCTGAATCTTAACCAAGAGATACTTCTTCATTTTCTCTTAAAAACATGTTCAGAGGCAGGATATGCATTCCTCTTTTAACCGATTAATCCTGACTATAGGGATTTCAGGGGCCTATATTTCTCTACATCAACAGTCCTAAAGTATTTTTGAGAGAGAAGTTTACTTACATGACTAGCAGCATTTCTTAAAGAAGCAACAGTATTTTCTTGGACTTTAGCAAGCCTGAAATAGAAAAGATGAAGAAACAAATTTAATGAAGATAATGTTATCTTCAAAAATGAAAATAGTTACTTGTCTTCTATAGTGAGGTTAATTTTACCAGCCACAGCATAAGGCTGTGACCATCACTTGGTTGATATAAGTATCTACTATAACATTGCAAACTCTGTTATAGTTATTTACAGGCTGAAAGCAACACATCCCCAATACCACAACAGAAAATACTGGTCTTCCTTATTCATCTCTCTTCCTTGTAATAATAATCTATAATTTTTTCCCCTTGGGGACGAGTAAGGTGTGGTGCATAGACCAATTAAGGAGCATAATCCACTTCAATGAAAGGAAGGAATGCTTGTTGTTCCTAAGTTCCATCAAGTTTGTTCCAACTCACAGGGATCCTGTATAGAGTTTATAGAAGATAATTTTAATAAGAGGTAACTCAAATCTCAATCTCACAATTCATGTGTGAGCATTAGGAAACAAGCCAATAACAGAATAAAACCACTTCAAATGTTTTTGGCATGAACAAAGCTAATAAGACAATAATAACTAAATAAATTAAATAATTAAATCTTTGTGGGAGCAGAAAGCCTCATCTTTCTCATGAGGAACAACTGGCAGGCTTGAACTGTGGACCTTAGAAATCTGTTCCTGAAATTAGGTCTCCAAATGACTCAATATTGGCAGACTGGAGAAAGGATGAGAAAAGATGGATGCACTAGTAGGGTTATTGTTGCTGTGTAGCTAGTTCTGACTCATAGCGACCCTGTATAGGGTTTCTGAGGAGCAGCTGGTCAGCTTGAATTGCCAATCTTGCAGCCCAGCCCATTAACCCACAGCGCCACACCAAGAGGGTAGAGCTAAGGAAACTACATTAAAAATGGAGATGAAAAGATGGAGTTGTGCAGTTCTACTGTTCTTAATGGTGATTTGATTTGTTTTATACACCATAAAAAGTCTTAGTGATTTCCACATATCCTAATGCTATAATAACAACACTTCAAAAATAAGAGGAGGTATTCAGCCTGTCCAGGAAGGGTTGATGAAATGAAATGCAGATGGGTCTCTTGTGATGCAACAGTGAATAATTGTTATCGGGACTGATTGTGAGGGTTGGAAATGTATAAAGGTGGCATTTTATAGCAAGGAGTGAGTGATTAACTTTTCAGTCTAGGAGTGGAGGGCTCTGGGACCATCAATGGAGAAGAGCAGAGAGCAAGACCCTACCCAGAGAAGCAGTGAGGCCCAAGATGGAGGCAGAGAAGATGACGTGAAGAGATGGAGTGGCTGGGGACTTGAGATCCAGAGAGGGACAGAAGCTGTGTGCTGAGGACCGTGGGGAGGGTGGGGTGAGGGTGGGGGGGCTTGCAGGGTATACCCTTTGGTTGGGTGATGATGCATGGACGGGATGGTAACTATGGCAATGAAACGATGTATGATAGAATGAATGTAAAACTAATAATAAAAAATAAATAAAATAAGAGGAGGACAGTTTACTACAACTTAATGTGGAAAAGCTGTGGAAATGAGCTACAAATCAGAGCTGGGTAAAAGAACAACTCTACCATGATGAACTCTGCTTCTGTCTTTCTGTTGAGGTCCTACTTGAAATGATCATCGTTCCTTGAGTGTACACATTGATGCCACCAGGACAGGATTCTTTCTGTTGTCTGGTTTTATTGTCCACTTAATCAATTCAATACCATTAAAAAAGACTGACAAGAACCTTAAGAGAAAGTTGTCCTTTAAATAAATTGCAAACTCTTAACTACCAAATTAGGAGCCCTAGGGATTGCTGTAGCTATTAAGCACTGGACTATTAACCACAAGGTCAGCAGTTCAAATCCACCAGCTGCTCTGTGGGAGAAAGATGAAGCTTTCTGTTTCCGTAAAGATTTATAGCCCAGGATGCCTGATACATGGTTCTATGAGTTGGAATTGACTTGATGGCAGTGGGTTTGGGGAGCTACCAAATTACATTAATTCCTAGGATACATATAGGTTCCCCCCGCTATCGCAAAGTAAAGCGTTCCTATGAATCCTTTCATAAAGCTAAGAAGCAATAGCATTAATTTATATGGAAAAATTTTGAGTGTTCCTAGATAGAAAAAATAACCTGCCAAGTCCTACCAAACAGCATATAAAATCTAAAACAACACTAGCATACAGTTTTCACAGACAGTTCAAAGCTATGGCGACTCGGTGCTGACTGTAATTACTGCAAAGGAGCTTGGCAACGCCAGTATCTCAGCTTGAGGTGTACTCTGCTTCTTTAGCGGCTCACTGAATGAAACGAAATGCTGGGTGCTAATTTTGCTGTTTGCTTTTTTTTTTTTCCCATAAAAGCAAAAGTCATCTTTGGGTTTCTTTCAGATCGAAAAAACAGGTAACTTATATGATTTTCATAAAAAGCAAAGTGGTGTAAAGCAAACTTTTGAAAAGCGGGGGATGCCTGTACTTATATAATTCATAACTCTAATGACTTCTGGTGTGGCACTGTGGATCAGCACTCAACTGTGAACCACAAGGTCAGCAGTTCAAAACTACCAGCTGCTCCTCGGAAACTCTATACAGGGTCGCTATGAGTTGGAACCAATTCAATGGCACTTGAACAGTAACAACAACAAATGACAAAAGAGCTATTTGGCCATTGGTAGGATAAACCAATACAACCTTATCAAACTGAGGTACCAAATGCTAAATCCTACTCAAATAGTCAACCTACTGGGCAGTTGTTGTAGAGTTCCCTGCACCTCGATGTCCCACATCCAAAGGTATTCTTGGCTTCCAATACTTGGAAAATGAAGATTTCATATCACAATTATATCCTGGTAATGGCTTAATAATTATATAGTCAACTTTCATAGAAAAAAAAAGGGGGAGAGGGACAAAAAAAAAAAAAAATTAAAGCTCAATTATATTCTAAATACTACTTAACCCCACTTTAATCATCCTACTAAACACTAAAATATCAACAATTCAAAGCTGGTTTAAAGTAAAACTTCTAGAAAGTAATAGATATGTCCCTTAAGATTATTATCCTATTATATAATATCCAGAGATAAATCATCTTTAAGTTTCTTGTGAAACCAATTTAAAATGAATGCAAATTCCAACCTGGCGTTAAGCTTTCTGTACAGAGCCATGTCATGAACTCACCTCTCACTTTGCCTATGGTTTTCCTGGAGTTTCTGCTCATAATGGGAAGAGTAAGAATCCCAGCACTCTTCCCACTCTCAGCAATGGTAGATGATAGGAGGCATGCTGTACCTACATGTCCAGGAAGCGCATCTCCCTGAACAACGGGCTCACTGAGATCTTCCTAGAAAAAAAAGGGTTAGAAAAAACTGAATTTCCAACTGAAATGTTAAAAAAGCACCTTAAAGTCAACCCAGAATCTATGGATAATTAAGGAACACTGATGAAAAATACAATCAAATTTACATCCAGGCAATTTAGATGGCTTCTTTACAGATCGCTTTTTTCTTAAAATGTCAGTATTTTAAGTTTTCTTTATTTTACCTGGACTACTGGTGCAGCACTGTAGGATCAGCACTGGGCTGTGAACAAGAAGGTCAGCAGTTTAAACCCACCAATTGTTCCTCAGAAACTCTATACTTGGTCACTATGAGTCAGAACCAACTCGACAACACTTAACAACATATTTTACTTTATTAATCATTAACACCACTGATTTGTGTCTCTGATACTCTAACATGCATTTTGTTTTTGCAAAGTGCTGTTGAGTCAGTACTGAATCATAGTGACACTGTTGTATAGGGTTCCCAAGGGGTGGTTGATGAGCTTGAACAGCCGACCTTGCAGTTCAAAGTGACCTTGCCATCCAGTGCATTAACCCACAGTACCACACCAGGACTCCCTAACATGAATTAGGTAAGTTTAAGGCATAAGAAGGTTCTAAAGTTGATTCAAGAAATTTTCATGTATATTAATGTAATGGAATGTATATTACAGTCTCTAAAAATCCATTCAACACAGGTATAGCAACTCTTCAGGAAGCCAAACATTTACTTTGAGACCACACTGGATATTTTGTCAGTCCACTCTATGAATAACAGTTATTTCCAAAAGCACTAACAATGACAGGAAAATGCTAGGTGGTTCAAGAGGTTATTATGACATGGTAGGTTTTTTTTTCTGATTTCTTTTTCTTTTTAAGTTTTTTATTGTGAATTGAGTGATAGTTTACATGGGAGAACATTGGTTTAACACTCATCATTTCATTGTAATGAGTACAATCTTCTCTGTGCATCATCATTTGCTTCCATTCCCTGTTTTTGTTTGTTTTCTTTGGGGGAGTAGATGTACACAAAAACACTCAGGAATATATATTCATTTAAACAACTGAAGGGCGCATTCTGTAAGCTTGCCTCCTGGTCGCCAGCACTCAGTCTTTCTCTTTCCATGAATCTACAGTCCTCAGCTGCTCCCTCTCTCCATGTCCTCATCTCTGCCTCCATCTCTGGTGTCACTGCCTCTCTTGAATAGGGTCCCACATTCTGCTTCTACTCTTCTCCCTTGATGGTCCTAGGGTCCTCTGTTTCTGGACTGCAAGAGTAACTACTTCCCCCTTTTTGTTACAAAACTTCTACCTTCACAGTTGTGACCATCACAATTAGTCATGATCACAATTAACATTGGATCCTCAAAATCTCATCTCCATCTCTTTTCACCAGACCCATCTAGACAAGGTGAAAACTATTGAGTGGGGACTTTACATCACCCCACACACTCTTAAACTAAACTGCCTCTTGAAAACTTGTAAGCCAATTACTTCGTGCCTTTATTACCCCTTCATTTTAGGTAGCCAATGTTTAAGTTGCCTGTCCCTATCTACCCTGTGTGTACAGAGGGGATATCACTGATACTTGATGTGAAGACTCCTTTCCTCTCAGTTGGTATTTTGAACTACAAGTATTAAGTATAGGTCATGCTCATCAAATTGTAGCAATTTACACTTTTTTTTTTTTATCAAAATTGTTTATCTTCTTCTAGTCGAGTTATGATCATCAAGTCATCGAGGATAGGTTATGTGGGTACTATCTGCAAGTTTGGGTGTTCTTGTGCATCTCCCCTCATTTCCTATCAGCTGTATGCTTCACTCTCAGCTCTAGCCCTCCGTGGCTATGTCCTTGTTCATGGGCTCTGGAGTCTCAAGATCTCACCACACTTTAGACCAACCAGCCCTTCCTTTTTCTCTCTCTTATCTCCAGGTCAGTGGGAGTCTATGAAACATGGCTGAACTCAGCCCTATATAGTAGGTTCTTAAGCAACAAAGAAAAATTCCACAAAACTTCAAAATTTTACTATAAAGTTCCATCAATTTTAAGTTTTCCAGTAAGTTTTCTTCCTTTCTTCTTTTCATTCTCTCACTCTTTTTTCAGAACCTTAGAGGAAATTGTTTAGATTCCTTTAAATTCTAGGTAGTAATAAATAGCACTCACAAAGGCTATGTTTAAAGACATCACCAGCTAAATAATTCAAACTTTACAATAATTTTGATTATTAGTAACAACTTTTATACAGTAGGTTAAATTCTGCTATTGACAAACTGTGGCTAGGTAATAAAGCTGGGTGATTCGCCATCCTCAAAGATGGAAATTCTAATCAAGTCAGAATGGGAGCATAAGTGGCAGGAGAGCTAGAAATTAAGAAAACTGGCACACATAAAACTGCTGTGCCAGACACAATCTAGTAAGACCCTCAGAGGAAATGTAGTATACTATCCCTGGGGATTATCTGAACTGCCAGTGAGCTAATGAGCTCTATGAAGTATCACAGATGACTCTGGAAAGTAAGCAGCATAGCTTCTGAACAACCTGGCAAACTTTTTTTTATGAGAGTAAAAATATTTAAAAGCATCTGCCTATTCAATAATTTTTATTTGAATAATCCAGTGACAACCATTACGTTCATCATTTTGTATAAGCATCAACACACTTTTAGCTTCCAAATTATTCTACCACCCATATCAAATACTCAGTGTCTTATAAGGACTTGTGGTGTGGCACTACACAATAAGCACAGGACTGTGAACCACAAGGTTGGCACTTCAAACCACCAAGTGCTCCTTGGAAACCCTACACTGGGTTGCTGTTAAGTAGGACCAACTTGACAGCATTTAACAACTCCTTTTCCCCTTCCCTTCCATCCCTGGTAACCACTAATAAACTTTAGTCTCCAAACATTTGCCTACTTCTTATGAAATATGAAAGTGGGATTATATAATATTTGTCCTTTGTAATGTTTCACTCAGCATAATGTTTTCAAGGCTCATCCACACACAATGTACCATGTATCAGGACTTCATTTCTCTTTATGTCTGAGTATTGTTCATATTCCATTGAGGAACCACCAAAATTTTCCTGGCATAAATTTTATTTTAAATATTACATAAGATTCCCAATGAAAAAAACGGGAACAGGACATGAAAAGACACTTCACCAACGAAGACATTCAAGCAGCCAACAAACATAAAGAAATGCTCACATCATTAACCATTGTTGTTGTTAAGCGCCTTCAAGTCAGTTCTGACCCACAGCAACTTTGTATAGAGTCTCCAAGGAGCAGCTGGTGAGCTTGAACTGCCAACCTTGCAGTTCAAACGGCTTTTCAGTCTGATGCATTATCCCACAGCGCCACACCAGGACTCCATCAGAGAGGTACAATTTAAAACAACAATGAGATATCATCTCATGCCAGAATTAACAGCAAAGTTAAAAAAAAAAAAAATAGAAAATAACAAATATTGGTTGGGGTGTGCAGAGATCGGGACCCTCTGACACTGCTGGTGAGACTGTAAAATGGTTCAAACACTCTGGAAAAGAGTATAATGTTTCCTCAGAAGGAAATAAAAATGCCTGTGACCCAGCAATTCCTTTACTTGATATATATCCACAAGAAATATGAGCCAGAACACGCGTAGACACATGCACACCAATGTTCATCACAGCACTACTCACAATAGTAGAAAGATGGAGACTGTCTAAGTGCCCATCAATGGAAGAATGGATAAACAAATTTTGGTATATACACACAATGTACTATTAATCTGCAAAACACTTCATAACATGGATGAACCTCGAGGGCATAATGCTGAGTGAAATTACTGAGGCACAAAAGGACAAACATTGCATGAAACCATTATTGTAAAAGCTTAAGAAAAGATTTCCATACTAAATAATTCTTTCATGGCTACCAGGGATGGGAGGGAGGGGAGAGTAATTCACAGGATAGGAGGTAGATACATGATAGACTGGGAGGGCAATATGTAAGGAGTGGGAGAGCAATACACAAGTAGGGAGAGGGTAGCAGATTAACGATGAAAATAGGGAAAGATTTAGGAAGGTATGCATGGGCTAAATGGAATAGAGGTAAATAGTAATGTATACACAACCTTGAAACAAAGTGCTCTGTGATACAGGGACCGAAACTTAGTCCAAAAAAGTAAAGGAGGAGAAAAAATGTTTAGGGGCTTGACTGTCTTGTGGAGGATATTGGTTACCTCTGCCCACTATAGTAAAATACACATTTACATGTGATGGAAATGAATATTGGGAATTATGATTACAGAAAGCTTGTAAGCCTGTCTTCAGCCTATAACTGATTGGATTAGCTAACAAGAGAATTAGAATTTGCCCAAAGAAACAGGCTTCATATAAAACCTTTGTAGAGTACAGGGTCTTAGGTGGAATACCGAGTCCCACCCAAAATCTTCTGAAGTGGGACATTCCCACTTGAAAAGACATGCACACCAATCCAGAATGGCTAGAACAGAAGATACTTTTTGAAAGAAATACAAGCAGATTGTTTGGCTGTTAGAACAGTAAGCAAGCTGTTTGCCTTGGAGTCATCAAGGCAAGAAAAGTCAGCCCATCAGGGAAAATCCCCTTTTAAGATTGACACTGAAAAGGAACCATAAGCAGTCTCGTATGCTCACTGGTGACTGCCCTGGTCTACTTACGAGTGGAAGTAGGGGAAATGCAACAATGAAAACATGGGCTGAGTCTGACCATGTTCCACTGACACCAATGACCTTGAGACGAGAGAGCCAATACAAAGGACTGACTGGTCTGAAGTTTAGGAAAATGTGTAAACTCCCGAGCCCATGGGCACTGACCACTGACCTAGCCACTGGAGGCTAGAGCTGACAGTGGTGCGTCCAACTGGTTTGAAGTGGGAGGAGGCATGTGAGAAATCCCAGACTTGCAGATAGTATCCATCTGACCTTGCTTGGAAGGCTAGCTGACTACAACTTGAACAGACGAAGATAAAGAAGCTTGATACTGGGAGCAAGTATAAATTCCTACAATGTGATGAACTGGACTTATGCTTATGGATGCTGTTGCTCAAAATTCCAACCAAAATGGAAGGATTCTTCATATCAAGGATCAAGCTTGTTTCCTCAGTGCAATGGGTTAATAGAGACAGGCAACTTAGACACTGGCTATAAAAAATGGGGGGCTCCAAAGGCATGGCGTGGCTGGTTTACAAGCTTTCATGAGTGTGCTTGGTTTCAGAATGAGGGGTTAGGTAGAATCACCAGATGGATCTGGTGAAAGAGGATGGGGGATGATGGAGACAGGATTTAATGATTTCAACTGTGAGTAATTGTTAGCTGGATTCATTGCAATTGTCACAGCTGCAAATGTAGATGTACAACTAAAATGGAGGAGTAGTAAATTTTTCATTTCAGGAACAGAAGATCCTAGGACCATCAAGAAGGAAGAGCATAAGTGGAGCATGAGATCCTATCCAGAAAATTAGGGACAGTAGAGATGCTGGCAGAGGCGATGGCACAGAAAGATAGAGCAGGGTGGGCTCTAAGCCCATGGACTGAGAAAGGCTGCATGCCTACAGGAAGGAGGCTGGCTTGCAAAATGTGCCCTTTGGACATTTAAATGAACATATTTTTTGTTCTGTAGGTGTACATTAAGTATTTTTGCATTTGTGAAAAATAAGACGTAAAAGGAAAAACAGAAGGTAGAAGCAGGAAAACTTGTTACGGGGAGGGGAGTGTAATCATTGTGATGAAACAAAATATGTGATTAGTTGAAAGTAAGGCTAGTTATATAGGTTGCCCGCAAGAGTCATATAGCCTTTCCTTCTATTTAATTTTTAACATGATAAGTGGAGAAAAGATTGAAGTTGTCAAAGGTTTAAATTTACTTGGATTCACAATCAACATCAATGGAAGCAGCAATCAACGAAATCAAATGACATATTATTGCATTAGAGAAATTTGCTGCAAAAGACGTCTTTAAAATGTTAAAGTGCAAAGGTGTCACTTCGAGGACTAAGATGTGCCTGTTCCAAATCATGGTATTTGCAATCACCTCATATGTATGTGAAAGCTGGAGAAAACTGATGTTTTTGAATTATGGTACTGGCAAAGAATAATGAAAGTGCTACGGACTGCTAGAAGAACAAATAGATCCGTGTTGGAAGAAGGACAGCCAGAATGCTCCTTAGAAGCCAGGATGGTGAGACTTCATCGCATATACTTTGGACATGTTCTCAGAAGGAACCAGTCTCCGGAGAAGGACATCATGCCTGGCGAAGCAGAGGTTCAGCAAAAAACAAGGAAAGCCTTAATGAGATGGATTGACACAGAGAGAGGTTGCATCATCGAGCTCAAACATAACAGTTGTGAGGATAGCGCAGCACTGGATAGCATTTCATTCTGGAGTATGCAGGGTCACTATGAGTCACATCTTTGAATGCTCCTTTGGATAAAATGCATTTCCATTAAGATTATTTAATAGATACAGACTTTAAGATATTTGGTCTGGATGCAAAATATCTATTATCTTGAAGTTCTTTTAATTATATTCTTAACAGCACTCAGTTTGTCGACTCCAAGTTTTGTAATTCTGTTAAAATGTATTGAAGAGTAAACATCTAGTTGTACTGATTAGGCCTTTACACATTTAGTAGACTTTACACAAATAAAAATCAAAACTTATATAAAAATAAGCTTAGCCCCCTGCATTCTTTTTCAACCCCCTTAATAAATTAACTGCTCACCTCAAAAAAATCAAAGATTAGTTCCAGGTTATCTGGCTCCATTGTCTGGATGCTATACTCTGTCCAACGGTCAGGCTGTAAGCCATACCCACACTCTGGCTGGGAATGCCGGCACTTGAATTCATTGTCACTTATTAACGATATCTCTAGACTATTAGACATTTTGTGAAGAACAGTAGGAGATAGTCTGTCATCATCATCTTCTTCTAGACCCTCTAGGGTCAGCTTTACCCTACAGGATAGGAAAAAAGAATGAAATACAAATGTGGCACAAAAGTAAAAGCCACACAAATGTTATCTAAATGCTGAACTTAGAAGAGCTACCCAAATAGAGTGAATACAAATTATCAAAAATTATGTATTACTCAAAGACTACATATACTACTGGCTAAGACATTGGGTATATTTTACAAATACTTGTGCTTTTATCCATAAATATAGCACACTAACAGGTTCAATTTTATATTTGGTATATATATGATGCATATATACATACATACATACTTTTATAAAATTGAACCTGTTAGTATGCTATATTTTTTTCTCTAACTCTACCACATGAAAGTCCAGATACTTGGCAAACAATGTATTATTATTAAAGTATTTGTATTAAACATATATATTTATTTATGTGTCCTACAGCACCATCAGTGCTCCCACAGTTCAACAAAGTATAGTTACAAGAAAACATTTCAATCCATTTTAAACCTTAGGAACACAAAGATATTTGCACTCAATTTATTTCCATTATAAGTTCTAAATGTATTTATATTCTAATGAAATCATCTGTTAACTTTTAACTCTAGTCAGTGATAGGAAATTCTAGTAATTCCCTTCCCAACCAACCAACCAACCAACCAACACTTTAAACTTCCTTATCTACTTTATGACAGGATATTATAAAATACTATGTGATTAGTTGCTTCAGTTTCCTAAAATGGCCCTTTCAACCTGACCCTGACATTCAGTAAGAAAAGGATACATTATATATCACTGTTCAGAACTCTCCAGTCCCAAATGTCACAGAACTCTAAATGATAAGGGTGGACTGGTACTGAAAGAAGGCAGCTCACTCAAGAAGTTAGCACAACGACATGACAGAGAAATAAAGCTACTTGCTACTTAAACAGCTTGACATCTATTTCTTAAACAAATATAGGCTTAAAAATTAGAGAACTCCCCAAGTTCTTTAAACCTTGAACCAAAACCCCTGAGGCCATTTTTTTAGCTAAATAACAGACTGGCTCATGAAATAAACAAACAAAAAATAAACAATTTCACCCATGAGCTCCTTTACAGATATAAGATCAAATGCTCAGCAATTACTTTAAAATAAATATGAGAAGATAAGGAAAAAAGGAAACCAGATTACAGGAAATGAAGCAACTGGAACAGAAATTATGTGAATGGTCACACATTGTAAAGAATGCAACAAATATCTTCGGACAAGTGGTGTAGAAATTGATGAGTAGGAGCAAAACCATGCCCAAAACACATCAATATATCATTTAAAAAATGTATACATGAGGGGGATTCAAAAAGTTCATGGAAAAAATGGAACTAAAAGATAATGGTATGTTTCCATGACCTTTTTGAAGCTCCCTTGTACATATAGGCTTAAAAAGAAACTAACCTGGAATTGATATGATAACAATGACTTTTTTCCCTGGAAAGGTTTCTCCTTTTCAAACCACAGTAAAGGTTAGACCATTGTGAAGTTGTTCGTTTTTCTCTGCTAATGCTATTCTCAGATTTAGCATGGAATCATTTCCATTACTAAAAACTATTTATTGTGATACGAGGAAATATTACATGGCAGACGTTACATTGAAAAACTATATAAAAGCTATTCTGGTTCTAACTGGAGAGACTAACATAATTATGTTTAACTGTAGCAATGTGAGAGGGAAAAGCAATTCACGTTCGCAAGACCCTGTAAGTGTTTTCCTTAGTTTATACACTTAAAAGTTAAACCCAAATTGGTCTGAAAACTACAGCACTAGTGAAAATAAATGATTCAAGTAACAAATACACAATCATACCTAAATCTAGACTTCTTAAATTTTTTCTTGGTTATTGAGACCGGAGGTTTTTCAGAATAATGCAAACGTAATCTTATTTCAGTCTGACATGTCAGCCATCCAGAATCCAAAGTTTCAACACCATCTGGTAAATATGAAAGTAAATTGAAAAAGAAATATGAAAGTAAATATGAAAAGCAGTAGCTATTATACATTTAAGCAATTTTGTTTCATTGTGATAAAATATAACTAAAACATTTGCTAATTCAACCATCACTATTCATGCAATTCAATACAAACAATCTTAAAAGCATAATACACATTGAACTTTCTAATTCTAGTTCACATTCACATTTTTAAACACTTAAGGAGTCCTGGTGTTATACAGCAGGATGATGCACTGGATCGCAAGGTCAGTTTGAACCACAAGGTCAGCAGTTCAGGTCCACCAGCCACTTCTCAGAAACTATATACAGGGTCACTATGAGTCAGTTGTGACTCACAGTGATTTTATATAGGGTTTCCAAGGAGTGACTGGTGGGTTTGAACTGCCAACTTTGTGGTTCAAACATATTTGTTGAAAAAGTGCTGTTATTTAAAAGATTCTTATTGAATCCATGACTGAAGTAATGGAGTCCTGGTGTGGCACTGTAGGATAAGCACTGGACTGCAACTACAGGTTGATGGTTCAAACACACCAGCCACTCCTTGGAAACCCTACATAGGGTCGCTGTGAGCTGGAACCAACTCGATGGTACTTTAACAACAACAACAATTGAAGTTATACAAATCTCTTTCAGAAAGAATACATGTTCAAAGGTATCCATTAGAGATCACTATTACACTTTCAGTGTTTCAGCTGAAACAAGTTACATGTCACTGTTGCTGATGGTTTTAGATATGATGTTAAGAATAAAAGAGACTCAATGTTATGCTTTCAGGTAATCTGTCATAAATAAATTGCCTGACAGCAGTAAAATGACATTAGCATTGCTTTACTTGTAGTTGGAAATGTGAACTAAACAAACAGGTAGTACAGTTTCATAAGAGTCAGAGAAACTTCCAACTATTTTGAACCAATGCTTTTTCATCAATAGGGCTGAAAAAAAATAAAAAGAAATTTCTATCCTTAGTAAAACTTAAAAATTCAGTGGTATCAAACTTTAAAAAATAAAGAGAAATCACTAATTATGAGCACAGTTTTCAGAAATGGACAGTGTTGGAAGAAGAGCTTTCCATTATGAAAACTGACACTGAATTTAGGAAAATAAATTAGGAAAGAAACACCAGGTATTTATAAGGATAAATAATAATTAGCACATAATGTTGCCAAGTGCCTGTGGAATTGATTCCAACTCTTAGCAATTCTGAGACTGTAAATCTTTACTGAAGTAGACAGCCTCATATTTCTCCCCCCTCTGAGTGGCTGGTGGGCTCGAACCACAGAACTTGTAGCTTACAGTCCAGTGCTTATCCTACAGAGCTACCATTCTCCCAATTAACATATAATGTTGCTGTTGTTGTTAGATGCCATGGAGTCGGTACCGAACCATAGTGACCTAATACACAGCAGAACAAAACACTGCCCGATCCTGGGCCAACCTCACTACTGGTTGCCACACTTGAGTCCATCGATGCTGCCACTTGGCCAATCCATCTCGTTGGGGGTCTTCCTCTTTTTCTTTGACCCTCCACCTTACCAAACATGATATCCTTCTCCAGTGACTGGTCCCTCCTGACAATATGTCTGAAGTATGAGAGACAAAGTTTGGCCATCTTGGCCTCCAAGGAGCACTCTGGCTTCACTTCTTCCAAAACGGATCTAATGGTTCTTTTGGCAGCCCATGGCACTTTCAATATTCTCCTCCAACACCATAACTCAAAAGCATCAATTCTTCTACGGTCATCCTTATTCACTGTCCAGCTTTTGCATGCACATATGAGGCTACTGAAAATACCATGGTTTGGGTCAGGCACACCTTAGTCCAAGCTGACATCTTTGTTCTTCACTACTTCAAAAGGTCTTTTGCAGCAGATTTGCCTAATGCAATACGTCCTTTGATTTCTTGACTGCTGCTTCCATGAGTGTTGATAGTTGACCCAAGAAGAATGAAGTCCTTGACAACTTCAATCTTTTCTCCACTGATAAGAATGTTGTTTATTGGTCCAGTGGTAAGGATTTTTGTTTTCTTTACATTGAGATGTGATCCATACAGAAGGCTGTGCTCTTTGATCTTAATCAGTAAACGTTTTAAGACCACCACTCATCTCTCAATTTGTCGTACTATGGTGGCTTGTGAGTTGCTGTGATTCTGAAAGCTATGCCACTGGTATTTTAAATACAAGCAGGATCACCCATGGTGGACAGGTTTCAGATGAGCTTCTAGATGAAGACAGACTAGGAAGAAGCAGTGATGAACTACTTCCAAATATTTAGTCACTGAAAACCTTATGAATTAACATGTAATAGATGATCATAATATCATGTATTATAGCAGAAGCAATGACTTCGCCTCCATAAAGAAATCTTTCTAACACATACTGCAAAAATAATGTGTTTGTAAGTAGGAAAGAGGACAAGACTAAAACACTAAACACTAGACCTATACTTTAGACCAATATCCTAACGTAAAATAAACAATCATAAACAAATCAAGGAAAAGATTAAATTTCTATTCAAATTCAGTTAGAGCCATGTATGTGCAATGCTTATTATATGTATGTAGTAAAACCACAATCAACATATTCAGGCCATGCTCTTTCCTGTACCCAGGAAAGCAATCTGGTTATCAGCAATTTATCCCTAGTTCAGAGTCCATAAAGGACACATTCCGCCCACCACTTTGCACCTTTTGACTCCTACAGTACAGTGTCTAAAATGAGAATGCAGTTTGGCAAGATAATTCTAATGTTGTTATCATTAAGTGCCATCAAGTCGGTTCTGACTCATAGGGTTACCGAGGAATGGCTGGTGGATTTGAACCACCGACCTTGTGGTTCAAGTTGACTTTGCAGGCCAGTTCTTATCTACACCTCCATACATGGTATGAATTCCTGTTCCTGAAGAAAATTTGGGTCCTCAGGATAAAGCATTTACTGAAGCAGAAAAGCATAGTATTATACAACATTTTCAACATACTCAGCAGTAAAAAGCATTCTCTACTATAAATAGTTTATAAAGTCTCAAAAAGAATTGATAGAACATCTGATTAGTCTGGATCTTACTTAAATGCATATACACAGAATACAGCCAAACTTAGCTTAACTTTGGTTATATTTTATGTGTTTGTTGTTGTTAAGTGTTGTGAAGTCCGTCCCGACCCATAGTGACCCTGTATAGGGTTTCCAAGGTGCAGCTGGTGAGCTTGAACTGCTCACCTTGCAGATCAAACCAACCTATGGACCAGTGCATTTTCCTGCAGTGCCGCATCATTTTCAAACAGACTGTGTTAATAAACAGCAGCAATATATTAACAGTTAAGTGCAATAATTTTAGGAGCTCTGGTAGTGTAGTGGGTTATGCATTGGGCTGCAAACGTCAAGGTCAGTAGTTTGAGTCTACCAGTTGCTCCATGGAAAAAGATGAGGCTTTTGCTCTCATAAAGATTTACAGCCTCTGAAACCCTCTCCAGGGTCACTATGCAGCAGAACTGACTTGACAACACACCGCCACCATCATTATCACTACCACTACCACCAGCACCACCAAGTGTAATAATTTTGGGCATCTGTGGTCCACTGGTGGAATTCTCGCCATTCATGTGGGAGACCCGGATTTTATTCCCAGCCAATGCATCTTGGGTGCAACTACCATCCATCTGTCATGGAAGCTTGAGTGTAGCTCAAGCTTCCAGACTAAAATGGACTAGGAAGAAAAGCCTGGTAATCTACTTCCAAAAATCAGCAAATGACAACCCTATGGATCACAATGGTTTGATTCACAACCGATCATGGGGATGGTGCAGACACAGGCAGTGTTTCGTTCTTTTGTGCATGGTAGCTAACAATAACAATACAAATAATCTTAAGTAATCAATTTATCTGGGACCACCAAATAAATAAATATCAGAAGGATACAAATCTAAAGCATAAGAGTTATACTGGACACTACTTAACAGAACATAGTTGCTTGTTGGATCTAGACTCTATTTTCAGAATCATCTTTGTCATATTTCTCTGTGCTATACATGTCTAATGAATTATGAAGCAATATTTCAAACATATCAGCCAACACTTTCAAAATGCAGTCTCACTTACTGTGGATTCCAAATTGTCCATCGTCAATAATAATTTCATTTTCTAGAATGAAAGAAAAATAGGAAACCTAGTTAAAACCATCATATATACAGAATGAACAACTGAAAACTTACCCACTTTAATGAATTCGAAAAATATTAAAGCAGCCCAAAGTGAATAAGCATATTTATTGTAGCCCTCAGTAAAAAGTACCTTTTGAGGCTAGCAAAGAGCAATAATTCTCACACACTTTGGTAATTACACACAGTAGCACAGGAAGAGGAAAGGAAAACTCCTCAGAAAGGAGCTCTAAACACACTGAGATGAACTTCTACACCCACCAATGTATGAGATCACCAGGTAGTTTGACAATGATAACTCCTTGTTGAGTTTTCAATGCAAAAGTCTTGGTACAATTAAAATGCTTATTCTCATGCAGTGCATAATCTGAATTTATCTAAAATGTAATTCTCCTGGGATCCCAGCTATTCTCTATAACCAGCTAGAAGCTTTACAAACAGTGGAAACTTACCTGTACACACAGAGCTGTGGAGAACTACCAAAAATGAATAAGTGCAAGCACATCCAATTCTAACAGAAATTTCAACCAAATAAGAAAGCTATAAAAAACCCACCCTTCTGAGTAAAATATTCTCTTCCCTATTTCCCTTCCCTGTTTACTTTAAACATAACCTGAGATAGAGCAAAATAAGTGACAGTTTCTAATAAAGAGTCTCTGGTAGATTTCGCACAGCTCTTAAAAGGTATAGCTCCCCAAAGCATAGATTTGTTTTTAGAAGACCAGAAGTAAAATCACCCCCACTTCTCACAATTGTAAGATGTTTAATTGTAAGATGTTTCAAAATGCAAATATTTGATACCTCATAATTTCCAGCCTCAGTATGGGACTATAATAATTCTAAAGTACACTAGCAGAAAATCTCTAAATACACTATTGAAAATATATTTTAAAATATAAAAAGAAAATCCAATAAAGAGGATTGCAATATTTGTTTAAATGATATGTGTCCTTGCTATAGAATAAAGCAGAAACTCTCATTACTTTCAAATATAAGCTAGTAACTATAATGTGCCGTTTGTTATTGTAAAATTCTAACTTTTTCTAGAAGCTAAAGGATACATTTCACAGCACTGAGTCGATTTACAAATGAATACAAGTAGGTAAGTTAATGTATGTGAAATGAACTTGAAACTCTAATTTCAAAATAGAAAAAAATAAATACTTGGGATGAAAAATGCCATTTTTAGGCACAAGAAAACTAAGTGTTTAGAAACCAAAAAACCCAACTATTTGAATACCTCAACTCTAACATAGTCAGGAGCATATTAAAGCAAATTAAAAAGAATATATGTTTGCTATAACCAAGTAATTTTAGTTCATTCATGTAAGCTGAATCAAGTATTTACTAAAGAAAGGAAGAAAAGAATACATAGGATAATTTACCCTCTTACTATTCAAATCTAAAAATGTAAGATCTTTGTTTTAGATTAATTATTTCCTCAAAGTTCTCTAAGCTCACTGAGCAAATAAGCAAAGCCATAGATGCTCGGTTTCAAGAATGTTATTTTATAAACTTTGGAACCACTCCAAGTGAAAATAAATAGTTCATAATAATCTAGCCCAAGAAAATTAACATAGCTAGGCAAGCGTTTCTAATAGTTTATAAAGAAAAGCAATTAAGAACTGTTTCGTTTTTAAAGTAAGATCCATGAAATGCTAAGTGATATTTGTACCACTGATAATGCATTGACTTTACACTTTAGAATAAAAATGAATTAGAAACCCCCCTAAGCCATTGTGCAGCATATTAGTAACTTTATGCCTCAAACAGATGCAGTTAATGCCCATACCTAAAGGGGTTATTGATCGTGGTTGTAGATGAGTCTCCCACTTGTGAACTATGACTTGACATGGACCACCGATAGTCTGCAATTTAAAAGTTAAATGTCTGCAATAATTTCTTATATCTTATTTTCTACCCATGACTCCATTAGCTGTCTGTGGCCTACTTCTTATACTAAATATGAAACCAAGAGATTAATTATGTTACTCATCAATATTGTATGTCAAAAATCATGACTGTACCCGGTCACAAAACATGGTGAATGCTAGAAGAAACGAGTGAGGCAATAAACAAACAAACAAACAAACAAAAAAGATGAATAGGAACGCAAACCTGACTTAAACTCACTCTTCAATAAATCTACAAAACTCCATTTTTTTCCAAAGAAATTAACTAAAATGAATTTTGTCATAAGTTAATACGGTTAACACCAAATATTCTTAAAATTTGGAATGTCAGCAGTCAGCAAGGTAGAACTACATAATGTATTACTACCCCCTGCTCTCCAAGTTAACTCCAAGTACTTCAAAAGTTTAATTATCATGTTAGTCAAAAAACACTAAAGGGTATAAAGTTCTTTATTATATGTAAGAATAGAAAAACAAAACAATCCCTTGTTGTTGAGTCGATTTCAACTCATAGCAACTCTAGTTAAGAATGTTGTTGTGGTTCCAACTCATAGGGACCCTGTACAGAGTTTCCAAGACTGTCAATCTTTATGAGAGCAGAAAGCCTCATCTTTCTCCCATGGAGTGGCTGGTGGATTCAAACTGCTGATCTTGCAGGCAGCATTAGCCCATGGCGTATGATACATGAAAAACAGAACACACCAGATTTCTCCTATCATACTAACCAATGTTTTCTAAACAGCATAGGAAACCCTAAAAGAAAGAATACATGGATGGGTAAATTTGAAGAACAAATTTGATAAAAAGGGAACAAACATCCAATTTCTATTATGCCTTTGTTGCTGTTGTGAAGTGCCGTCAAGTCGGTCCCGACCCATAGCGACCCTGCATAGGGTTTCCAAGGAGCGACTGGTGAGCTTGAACCACCGAGCTTGTAGGTCAAACGGCTTTGCATTCTGGCGCATTAACTCACAGCGCCACACCAGGACTCCTTAGTATTTACAAATCCATACACTGTGAAATTCTTAACAGTGTCTTCTATCATCAAACTCTCTTACTAAAAAAGTTTCATGTCTTGTTGGTAACTTTGAATTAATTTAAAAACAAAAAGAAACTACCAAAAAACCCCTGAGTAAACATAAAGAATTTCTAATTTTCCCTTATTTTTTTAAATTAAAATTATGTGCCCCCAAAATTTAAATATATTTTTTAAAGCAAATCTTCAGACCGTAACCTTATAAAATATTCAATTTTTTCTTCTTCACATATTCTCTGTAGATTTAATAAAATACAGAGAAGCCATAAGGAAAAAAAAACTACCAGTATAACGCTGTTGTTGTTGCTATTAAAGTGCTGTCAAGTCGGTTCAATTATAACACTACTTAGGGTTAATCATTATCAATATTTTTCATGGATAAACTTTGAATCCTTTCCTATAGATCTATACACTTCTAAAACTAAATAAATAATTGATAGCATTTTAATACTGACTGTATTTAATAAGTGCCCAATTGCTGTTGCTGTTGTTAAGTGCAATTGAGTCGTTTCTGACCCATAGTGACCCTGTATAGGGTTTCCAAGAAGAGGACAACAAATAAATATGTAACAAATTAGGCACACTACTAGGTAATTAAATACAAGATAATTCTGTAATTTAAAATACTGTTATCACCAGGACTCCAACATACTTTTATTTAATTTGCAAGTTTCGGATGTTTGGAAAGTAAAATAGGTTTAGCTATTCATTCAAACCACGGATGCTGGGACACTAAAGGAAGGAAATGCTCACCTGGATACCTCCTTGCTATAAGTGTTCACTTAAGGATTGGCAGACTAGGTAGAGTTTTTTGTTTTTAATGTAAATACAAAACTGCTCATCTTAAAATATGGTGAATTTTATGTCAATTATACTACAAAAGGAGATACATTTAATTTTACATCAGCTAGATGTTTTTTTACTTTAACTTTTAACCTGAAAAATGACTTTAGATATTTTAAACACAAAACTTTCTAACCCTCAAAAAACTGCAAATTTATATATATTAAAAGTAGGAGTAATCTTTCTTAGCAACAATTAGGAGTCAGAAATAAGGAATTTTGCCTTTCTCCATTTGCTTGTTCTCTAAAAACAAAACAAAACAAAACAAAAACCCTAAAACAACTTCGCTATAAAGATAGTTTATACCTAAATTTTTACAAAAGTTACTCATCAAAAGTGGGGCAAAAAGGATACTATGAATATAATAAATGCAGGCAGGGATAAAAAGTGGGTACATGAAAGAAGGGTTGTTTGTTTGTTTTATTTGAATTCAGGCCTCAGAGGAACTCTACAAGTGTTGTGACAGTACCTATACTAAGCCATGGAAAAATAGACATATTAATGAAATATTTGATAGCAAACATATCTAGCAGCAATTAAAAAAGCCCTTTAACAAAGGCATCCCTTTGACTAATCCACTACTCACAGCATAAAACAACCCAGATGTGTAAAGAATGGAGTAGTTGTTGATCAATACAAAAGGTCCACATCAACAGGTAACATTGTGTCTAATAGCATCCACACTGCATAACCATGTTGGTTGCTTATAATATTGAAAAAATTAAGCAAGTTTTAAGACAATCTGAATTTCTAAAAATGTATTATGGTTACTTTATTAAACTATAGAAAGCAATGTTAAAATTTCAGCTTTAAAAAAGTTCTTTTTAAAAACATTCAGACTTGAACTCTGGGAAATTCAAAATCTCAGTGATGACTGCAAAATATGCAATCCTTCCTAACTGGTAACAACTCATTCTTTGAGAACTGAGAAAAAGAACAGTTCCATTCTGTACAAGGCTGCCATAATTTTTTCTATTTGGAACTAAGTAGGAGGACCCTTGGGGAAAAAAGTAGTATTATCAATACTAAAATGTTTTCAAGCATGCATATTGATAAAAATATTAAAAATCATCTTATTTTCTAAAAAAACCAAAATGTTTGCTTTCTCAAACACAGAAAAATAAACATCCAGCAGGCAGATGGATTTCATTTTTAAACAAACACCCAATCAAAACAGTTAGCTAGTAATTTACTGTCACTACCTTCAGATATCACACACAAAAATGTAAAATTAAAATTGTTATTGTTTCTCTCTAGAATTCTGGAAAAGAATGATTTGAATTCATCTGTGATGTCATTTAAGGCCAGCTCTATAGTTAATAAAAATCAGTATTTATACTAAAACCAATAAAACCATGGCCACCTTGAGTTAAGGGCAGTAGGCTGACAAGACATGGCAGAGCAGGTATAAATCTAAGCTAACACACGAGAATATATGGCTTTCAGAAGAATCTTACTGTATAAGAATCTATTGTACAAAAGATTAACGGGTTCATTCTGAGAATGAACAATTATATGTTTATCACTGAGAGGGTAAACAAAAATCAGAAGAGATTAAGAACAATGGAAAGAGTTTGGAATGAATCTAATTATCAATGCATGTTAGCACCTATAAAAATTATATGCATACAAAAAAAATTATATGCATACAAATATTACTGAAAAATAAAGACTGCTTTCTATTGAAATGAAGGGAAAAATTCAAAGGTGATATAGTTAACAAGTGGTTAACATTTCACAACGAGAAGACATCCATAATTCCATGCAAAAGCAAAGGAATTGTTGTTGCTGTTAAGTGTCACCAAGTCAGATTAGAAATGTTTAAATTGCAAGCTAATTTAAAAAGTATTTCTGGTGTGAAATTAATGGTACTATCTTCAGACTCACATCAATATTTTCATTCAAAGAATGCCCACTATCATTGTTTTCTGCGTTCATCTTTTAGGAGAGAATATTTTGCTTTGGAATCTATAAAATTATCTAAAAACTCAACATATTTAACATCTTAATTTCACAAAATATAAAAGACTGAGTAGTTGTAAAAAAATGAAGGACTTCAGGACTCTAACTTCTAAACAAAAAGAAATATGCCAGATAAAGCTAAGGATGGAAGAGAAAATATGGCTGATGAAATTTTATTTATAATAAAATTTAAGCAATACAAGGGACCTAAGAAATCTTCCAGTCAAACCCGCATGAAAAAGCTGAAGTCTAATTAAATGACTTGTCCAAGTCACTGGATCTTTAAACTTAGGTTTATTACATATACAACTGTCTGGGCAGACTATATACAAAAACAGAACAAAATAAAACAAAAAATCAACCTTATCTCCCAATTCAGTTGTTTCATGTACTCATAATTACTTTGTTTTGCTATTCTTTCTTATATTCCTGAAATATGTATTCCAATAATTTGCATTACTTCATAATTTAAGATTCCTTGTAGAGTCCTTCTACCATTTGACAATGCACAATTAAGACAAAGTTCTATAATACTTGTATTTAAAAACTGGTTCTTTTTAAAAGCGCCACCAACTTTTAAAAGAAGTGCCATTTTAAGTTGGCATGTGGGGAACACCCTCCAGCCATCTGCATGTGATTTTATGTAGCTATTTACTCTATTCCATGAAAGACATACTTACCATGGCAGCCCCTGCACCACACGGTACATGTGTACACGATACAGAGCACCTACTTAAAGAAACACACTCACCAACATATACTGTAAACTTTTGCAAGTATTACAAGGGGGGAAACTTGTTTTTTTAGTGTAACTAGACTTTTTGCCAATTTTTTCAAAAAGACTGGACTGATTTGCTGCTTTGGGGTTACAGTTTTCAATGAAGAGAAAAAATACTACAGGTTGGCTTAATTGACGTGTTGACAAAAGTCTTACTTTAGAAAACTATATCCGTTAATATATATCTTATCTAGATGTCCCTTTCCAGGTTAAAATTTTGTGGATTTCCCATGTTACAAAGCTAAATTTCACAGAATGGGATCTTCAAATGAGTTGTCAATGTCATGAGTGCTATCATCTGTGAATCTATACTCAACTGTTTGATTTATACTGAAGAACTTTGCCACTATACATACATATTTCTATGCCAAATAAATGACAGACACCCTCTTCTTAAGTCATTAAAGTGAGACTATTGTCAAGATAAGCCAATGCAATGATCAACCATAATATAATTTAAGTTCAATTACTGAGGATTTACTCATACAACAATAAGAAACGTAATAGGTGCAAAAGACAGCTGAAGTGGGTTTGTCAGCTTTCATTCTTATTTTATAATGGTGGCTAAGAGAATGAATGGGCTAACAGTGGCTGCTTGCATTTTTCACACATAACAAACGTTCAATGGCCCCCAGGGGAAATATAGTTCTTAAAAAAAGATTCGACCCATGTTTTCCTGCTTAAGTCCTATTCACATGCTGCTTACATATGCTCAAAGGTAAAAACACAAAGGGAAAGAATTCATAAGGCAAATAGGTATCTTTAAAATAAGAGGAAAGAATCAAATGTTTTATTTTTTTCTAAATATGAAATAATTGCAATATAAAAAAATTGTTGTGAGCAAGCAGATTTAATAATCAAAGGCCTTCAGAAAAGATTCTGGTCTATTAAGGTCCTTTTTTAAAAAAAAAAATCTACAAGGAATGACTCCAATTTTGATGAAAGTTAAACAATGCAGCCACTAAAAGAGGGCTGCTGTGAAAACTTTAAAAACAACTATGTATAAAGTTCGTTATATACTCTTCTAAGTGTACAAGAGAACTTCAAAAGGTTCGTGGAAAAATTCCATTAGCTTTTCATTTTATTTTCCCACAAACTTGTTAAAGCCCCCTTAGTATTCCAACTGCATTAAGTATTTAAAATCAAAACAAAAAAGAAAAAACTCTTACAATTAGTTACTAATTACTAACAGAAACTGCACACCTCTACACTATATATATTTACTATCAGAACCAATTTCACCTTAAGAATATGGAAAATATACTTACTATTAGTCTTTTAAAATGCCATTACAAACACTGCCTCTGAAGAAGCTACTTCCTTGCTTTTTGATATTAACATACTATTAATCTAGAATTCTGTTTTGCTTATTTGACCAAAACAAACTCAGCTTACTTTGCTTTCAAACTTAAGTTAGCTGTTTTGTTTTTTAAAAAAGAAACATATTTTCTTGAGAAACTGGAAGTTAGATAAAGAAAACATACCTTTGGTTCCAAAAAGCACCCTTTGAAGTAGCGATACTGAACTGATACGCCTCTATTGAGTACAATGCTGGCTTTCCATAACATGCTGTAAAGGGGAAAAAATCAACAGCAGCAGTATCAGTATCAAACTGAAATGCATACAGATGTAATAATCTCACAAAGTCTCTCAAAGTTTATGGCCAATTAGTCATTCCTCCACCAAATTTTACTACAGCCCAGAACCAACGCCAAGGCACACCATCACACTGCATAAGTGCTGGGAACATAGTGATGATGAAGGCAGAAAGAGCCCCATCTTCAAGAAGCATTCCTTCTTGTGGGGGTAGATATATAACCCCCACAAGAAGGAATATGAAACAATTACAGATTATATGAATACGGGCTATTTTAGTCTTTCTGATGTCAAAGGAAGTTTTGGAGGGAAGACCTCATTGAGAAAAAAAACTCTCTGAGCTAAAAACTAAGTGATCAGGAAAAACAAGCTTTTACAAAGAGCCAGAAAACCCTGCTTTACAAACAAAACAAAACAGAAACACTGGTGTTCCAAGGTGGAAGTCAGAGCCAGAATAATTTCTTATACTCCACTTAGGTAGGGGTGCTATGCAGCAGCCAAGAGGTATTGGAAACAAGGTTTTGGTGTCCCAAGTAAGGAATGAACATTGGTATCTCATATTCCTAACTGTTTTCTTATTCTGTCCTGGTCCTCTGTCTGGCTATTTACCCAGTCAAGCCATCTATACCTGTAAACTACTTGCTTCAACTCAATGTCTGCTTCTGAACTCTGCTATTCTAACAGTTAACTATAATTTTAACTAAATAGCTGCCTTGAGATGAAAGATTTCATTGATTTTCAGCTTTAAATCATAAACCAGTGATATCCAAAGTATGCTCCTAGGGCCATCATCATCATCATCACATGGGAGCTTTTTGGAATGCAAATTTCCAGAGCCCACCTTGACCAGCTGAATTAGAAACTCTTGGAGCAGTGTCCAGTAATCTATGTTTTAACAAGTCTCCAGGTGACTGATGAATACTCAAGTTTGAGAGTGTCTGTAACAGACCTCTACACAATCATCAACTAAGTAGTTGAGCGAGTAAACAGGTCCTTCTTCCAAGCCAGCTCCACCAAGATAATTTGAGCCACTATACTCACTCTCAGGTGCTCTGGTAGTGTAGTGGTTACGAATCGAGCTGCGAACCGCAAGGTCAGCAGTTCGAAACTACCAGCTGCTCCATGGTAGAAAGATGAGGCTTTCTGCTCACGTAAAAATTTACAGCCTTGGAAACCCTGTTCAGGGTCACTATGGGTCGGAACAGACTCAACTGCACTTAACAACAACATCCTCACTCTGACTTCATCCTGGCTTTTAAGAAAATATCCTCATGAATCTGTTACCCATGGTCCTAGCTTTGGTGAGCAAATGAACCTGGTATTAATAAAATGCACTGTCCTGACTCGACCATAGGAGATTCTGATGTCACAGGTCTGGGGTGAATTCTGGTCACGTGGCGACTGATAAAACTTCATGGGGCATTCAGATATATATGTGGTTGGTTAAGGTTCACTGCTGTAAAGCAAAGATAGCAAATTCTTGGTATATGTACTTCTGGTAAGCATCAGAATTAACACAAGGCTTTAGGCAGATTCTACCAATTCATAGCTGAAATATATTTGCCATCTCTGCAACTAAAAAGGGGCAAATTTCCCCAACTATTCCATCTACCAAGTACCAGCTAGAGCATACGAAATTACCTCCACATATGTGCAACAGAATTACTGAGATAGGGCCTGTTGTTAGGTGTTGTCAAGTCATTTCTGACTCAGCAACCCTGTGTACAACAGAACAAAACACTGACCAGTCAGTCCTGTGCCATCCTCACAACTATTGCTATGTTTGAGGCCACTGCTGCAGCGATTGTGTCAATCCATGTCATTGTGGGTCTTCCTCTTTTTACTGACCCTCTACTTTATAAAGCATGATGTTATTCTCCAGGGACTGGTTTGTCCTGACATGTTTGAGTGGACGAAAAATGAAGCCTTGCCATCCTCATTTCTAAGGGGTATTCTGGCTACCCTTCTTCCAAGATAGACTTGTTCTTTGGGCAGTTCATGGTACTTTCAATATTCTTCTCTAACACCATAATTCAAATACATCAATTCTTCCCTGGTTGTCATATTCACTGTCTAGTTTTCACATGCGAGGCAATTGAAAGTATGGTGACTTCAGTCAGGTACACATTTGTCTTCAAAGGAGCATCTTTGCTTTTTAACACTTTAAAAAGATGTGGTTTATGTATTTACCCAGTGCAATAAATACATCATCTCATTTCTTGACTGGTGCTCGCATGAGTGTTAATTGTAGATACAAATAAAATGAAATCCTTGACAATTTCAATCTTTTCTTCATTTATCATGATGTTTACTGGCCCGTTTGTGAAGATTTTTATTTTCTTCACATTAAGGTTAGATCCATACTAAACACAGTAGTCTCTGGACTTCATCGTGTTTCCTGTCCTTTTCATTTTCAGCAAGCAAGATTTTGCCATTTGCATATTGAAGGGGTTTAATGTCAAGGCTCATTAACAACCTGTGATAATCAGATGACACAACCATGGAGTAGGGACTAGGCATGGGAGGGACTAGGCATGGGTATTTTTTTTATTGTTTTAACTTTTTATTGTGAATTGAGTAAAGGTTTATAGACATCTGCTTTACATTCAACAAACCATACACTGTTTCATCTCAGTGATTACAATCTCCTCTATTCAGCAACAGTTATCTTACTTCCTCCCTGTGGTTCCCCATTCACATCTTATATTCCACAAATGAACAAAGCAAAAATATTTTATGCACAAATACAAACCATAATAAAACAAAAAATATATATTTATTTAAATGTCCAAAGGGCATAGTCTGCAAGCCAGTCTCCTGCCTATAGGCACACAGCCTTACTCAGTTCATGGGGCAGAGTCAGCATCTGACATGGATATTTTTGAAAAAGTCCTCCCCCAAGTGATCCTAATTAATGCCTACCATTCCTTATTAAGAACCACAAATTGAACAGGAGAGATAAAAAGCTGCTATCCAAGGCAACAATTGGTCTCTATTCACTTGGAGCAACAGAGGACGGAGGAGAGTTAGAAATGAAGAAGGGGATATGGGATGAGTGGCTAACTGCCTTCATGAACAATAAGCTCCTTAGCCATGAGACCAGAAGAACTGGATGGTGTCTGGCTACCATTACTGAATATTTTGATCAAAGATTCAATAGTATATTCCTGATCAAAAGGGGAAAACAGAACCTCAAACAGAACAGACCTTAAATTCTCATGGACTCTAGACTTTCTAAAGCCATGGAGGGTGGTGACCCCTGAAACTATAGCTCTGAGATAGTCTCTGGTGTGGTGGTGGTGTGCCATGGAGTCGGTTTCAACTCACAGCGACCCTGCATAGGGTTTCTGAGGCTATAAATCTTTATGAGAGCAGAAAGCCTCATCTTGCTCCCACAGAACTGCTGATAGTTTCAAACTGCTGACCTTGAGGTTAGCAGTGTAACTCATAACCACTACGCTACCAGAGCTCTTTGTGAGTCAGGGTTAGGACGGACAAATTTTAAAAACATCCCCTGAAATCATATTAAAACTGAATAGTAGTTTAACTGAACTAGAAAAAAGGTCTGCCTGTGTGTATGTGTGAAGTGAGTGATAATTTACATGGGAGAACATCGGTTTTGCACTTAACCTATCGTATTTTGTTTCATTACAATGATTACAATCCCCCTGCATGCATCATCGTTCAACAGTATTTGCTTCTATTCCCTCTATTATTATTATTTTTTTTTTATGTACACAAAAACATGCAGGAATATACAATAACAACAAGGGCACATTCTGCAAGCCTGCCTCCTGGCTATCAGCAAACAACCTTTCTCTTTCTATGAGTCTAGGGTCTTCAGCTGCTCTATCTCTCCATGCCAACCTCTGCTGATGCTGCTTCTCTGGTTAGGGTCCCATGTTCTGCTCACATTTTACTCTTGATGATCCTAGGGTCCTCTGTTCCATGAATGTAACTACTCCTTCCTTTTGTTACACAACTTCTACCTTTACAGTTGTGACAATTGCAATTAGTCACAATAGCAATTACTCACTACTGAATCAAGAGAATCCAATTCGCATCTCCTTTCACCAGACCTGTCTAGACAAGATAAAAGCTATTCACTGGGGATTCTACCTTCCCCCGCACACTCTGAACCTAAACTCCCTCTTGATAACTTGTAAGCCAGTCATTTCGTGCCTTTATAGCCAACCCTTCCCCCCATTTTAGGTAGCCAATGTCTAAGTTGCCCATCCCTAAACATCCGAGCTCTGTCCTCTTTTAACAACTGTCTACATGAGATCAAATTAAGAACAGCACACAACAAGATTAAACAGGAGGAGGAGGGAGAGAAAAAACTAAGAAAAGGAGGGTAAGAATGGTTGCACAACTTGAAGAATGTCATCAGTGTCACTAAATTACATATATAGAAAGTGTTGAAATGATATGTGTTTTGCTGTGTATATTCTCAACAACAAAGTAAAAAGAAAAGAAAGAAAAAGGAGATTGGAAAAAAATAAAGCAAAACCTCTGAACAAATGTAGCCCAGACTAAAACTAAACCAGAATATTGAAACATAGGAAGGTACTGGGTTTTGGAACACAGAAGCTCTGAGATGAATCCCTGGATGGCATGCATAGCTGTCCTGGCAAAGTCACGTTGCTATAAATGCTTCTAAAGGCTTCCTCTCAATTTGTATCTTTCTCACATCATGGACTGATTTAAGAAGTGCTCGAAAAGTACTGGCCCATCGGGTCACATTATGAGTAGTACTTCTGTACAGAAAAATAGAATTTGAGCCTACAGAGCTTTCATCACCCAGTCTGGTGTTTCTCCATAGGTATAATGGATATATTTGTAGGCAGTTTAGGAACTCCTCTCTCCTCTTACCTAACCACCCCCTCCAATACACTTTGACAACCCAAACATGTCCAACCAAATACCCAAATATCAGTTGGATAAGTATTACCTTGATTGACATCCATGGACTGTAGCCCAACTTTACTATGAAGATGAGCTAACTGAGGCCTAGAGAGAGTAACTACCAAATCAGTTAATTACAGACTGTTAACCAACACCCCCAGCTTCTCCTTTTCCTAGTTCAATAATACATCAATATACCAGAACTAAATTTAAGGCTATATTTAATGGCAGTAGTGAATTAATTCTATTACTTTAGCTACAAAAATCTAAATATGTATTTTTCTTATTGGTGCCATCAAGCCAATTTCAACTCACAGTGAATCCATGTGACAAAATCAGAACTGCCCCACAGAGCTTTTTAGGCTCAATCTTTACAAAGCAGACTAGCGGGGTCTTTCTTCTGCAGAGCCGCTGAGCAGTTCCAAACCAACAATCTTTCACTTAGCAGCTAAGCACTTAACTGTTGTGTCACCAGGGCTCCTTACTAGTGCTCTAGTCTTGTTACTTTTCATGAAGTCATTACTTCAAGAAATAAATTTTATAGGCTAAAGCAAAAATCAATAAAACATTTGACGAAGAACACGCACTGAGAAGTGTTTAAGGTTTTGTCTCAATTTGAGTGGACCAGGATTCTCAGCAGTTAAAAAACATCATAATGCCCCATCATGAGATCTAGCATAATGTAATTACCTCCATGATGAGCTCTGCTCTGAACAGCCAATCAACTGAAAGGAAGTTAAAGATAAAAAGATAGAGAAGTGAGCCAAGCATGCGGGGCCACTACCACCAAGAAAGGAAGACCGGGAGTGGAACGTGTCCTTTGGCCCTGGGGTCCCTGTACTGTGAAGCTCCTAGATCCAGGGAAAGACTGATGTGAAGACACATGGAGATCTCCAAGGACTGCTGAACCTACAGAAGCTAAAAGGAGACAAGGACCTTTCCCCAGAGCCCACAGAGAGAGAAAGTATTTCCCTAGAGAGCCAGTGCTATGAATTTGGCTGTCTAGTATCCTAAACTGTGAGAGAATAACTTTGTTGAAGCCATCCACTTGTGATATTTATGTTACAGCAGCACTAGATAACTTAGACAAGAAACCAAAAGATAGCACCTGAACATTTAAAATATACAAATCCACAATATTAACTCTGTTATTTACAAACATTCTGGTATACACCAAAAGAGCCAGCCAAAAATTGGGTTGATAGGTATAACTAAGGAACAGAAGAACCTGTGTTTCACAACGAATTTTGTACAATGATTTCACTGTTTCTACTATGTAATGTAGGAACTTTGGCAAAAGTTAAAACTAAAATTAAAAAACAAAAACAAGTATTTTAGAACTCTCTATAATCTGAATGGAGTCCTGGTCTGGTGTGGCGCTGTAGGATAAAGCACAGGACCATAAAATAAGTTTGAACTGCAAGGTCAGTGGTTCAAACTCACCAGTCGCCCTTTAGAAACCCTATACAAGGACGCTATGGGTCAGAACCACACTTAACAGCAACAAAAACATAATCTGAATGTCCCAATCATCTGTGACCCAACATTTCCCTGCTTACCTTTCACTTGTCTCATTTTCTGCAAGAAGAGCCACAGCATTTTGAGGATTCCAATTTCCCAAAGCATCACAGCTTCCACATATTGCAAAAACTTCTCCTAAAGAAATGGAAGAAGAAATTGTAGTGCTTAAATATTAAGCAGGAACATTTCCAGTTTAAGTTTTAAGAACCAAATAAAGAGCAGTACATTTCACTCATTAAGCCCAATGGGCTGCCAAGTCTCCTTCACCAGACAGAGATGGACTAGCCACATAGGAGAGGCGCTTTGGGTGCCCAGGTACCACACTGCCACCTGTATATTAACTTGACCACCTTGACACACCAAAGCCAGAGAAAGGGAAGAAGGCACAGGAATGAACTTTTCTTCATTGTTCCACTATTTATTGAGCCAGTATCAGGCACACAATGCAAAGCGATTGAAGTTCCTGACTTCAAGGCAGCTTTTCCAATTTAAAAAACAAAACAAAACCAAAAAACCCCACTAAACACAGGTAAGTATTCTAAATAAACATTAATCATTATTTCCCAGGAACTCCACAGTTTATTGACAAGCTGAAAATCAAGAGAATTATCAATGGTAAGCAGCAGTATAACAAAAAATAAAATACTTTTAAGATGCATATAGTGGAAATTTTTAAGTTTTCCTTCATTAACCTGGAAATATCCTCAGTGACTGAAGTAGCTTTGTTCTTTATAAGGCCTCCAGAATGTACCAAGGAGTCCTAGTAGCATAGTGGGTTATGAGCTGGGCTGCTAACCACAAGGTCAGTAGTTTAAATCTACCAGCTGCTCTGCAAGAGAAAGATGAGGTTTTCTGCTCCTGTCAAGATGTACAGCCTTGGAAACCCTATGTAAGGTCACCACCACTACCAAATGTACTTACTTTGGGTTATGTCAATAAGATGAGTCATCTGAGGACTTGCCAGGCCAGAAAGACCCACACCATATCATCTAAGCTTAGAGAGGAGGCATGATTCAATCAAGGAGCTTGATGACCGAAGAACATTTTCCCCATAGGGTTTCTTTGGGGTAATGTGCTGGACTGCAAGGTTAGTTTGAAACTCAAGGTCATTGGTTCAAGCTCACCAGCAGCTCGTCAGAAACCCAATACAGGGTTGCTATGAGTTGGAACTTACTCAATATCACTTAACAACAATCTTTAGGTGCAGACTGCCACATCTTTCTCCCAAGAAATGAGTAATGGTTTCAAACCACCAGCCTTTCAGTTAGCTGAGTGCTTAGCCACTGTGCCATCAGGACTCTAACATGTAATGAGTCCCCTGCCGCAACCTCCCTCCCCCTGGGAATAAAGACTCTGAAGCTCCAAGGACTTCCGGGTTGCTGATAGACATCGATGCACTGAGTGAGGCAGGCAACACACTCCTTTTCTGAATATGGAAGCTCTGTATTAGGAACCTTCCCAGAACCCATCCTATCTACGTCTCTTTTATGTGTCCTTTTTAGTATAACAATACTACAGTCCCAAATATAGTACTCTCCTGGATTCTATGAGTCATTCTAGTGAATTACTGAGTCCAAGGAAGTAGTGGGAGCCAACAGGTCAGAAGTAAGGGAGGGCCTAAGGAACACTCCAAAATTTGTAGCCAGCAGGTCAGAAGTGAGTTGCATGGGGACCCTGAATCTTACGGCTGGCCTCTGAAGTCTTGGGCAGACTTGGCTGTCTAAAGGCCTGTGCCTTTTAACTTGAGATCTGGCATGGTGGTGGAAGTGTGCCGTGGAGTCGGTTCCGACTCATAGCCGACTGTATAGGGTTTCCGAGGCTGTAAATGTTTATGGGAGCAGAAAGCCTTATCTTTCTCCTGTGGAACAGCTGGTAGTTTCGAACTGCTGACCATGAGATTAGCAGCCCGACATGTAACCATTACGCTACCAGAGCTCCTTTGATATCTGGCATAGCTCAGGTGATTAGGATCAGACGAAGAAGTCTGCATGTGAGTTGGGAACAGAACGGAATAGATTTGAATTACAACTGAAATGAACTGAATAGACAAATTGCGCTGATTTATTTCTCTGACACCAAGATAAAGCCACTACATGTTGTTACTAGGTTCCATGGAGAAAGTTCAAACTCACCACAATCCCACATACAACAGAACATAACATTTGCCTGGTCCCGTGCCATTCTCATAATTTTTGCCACATTTGGGTCCATTGTTACAGACATTGTGAATCCATCTCCTTGAGGGTTTTCCTCTGTTTTGCTAATCCTCAACTTTACCAAGTATGATGTTCTTCTTCAGGAAATGGTCCCTCCTTAAAACGTGTCCAAAGTAAGTTGTTGTTGTAGTTGTTATATGTCACTGAGTTGGTTTCAACACATAGCGACTCAGTATAGTGTTTCCGAGGAGCAGCTGGTGAGCCTGAACTGCCAACCTTGCAGTTCAAACAGCTTTGCAGTCTAGTGTATAACCCACAGTGCCACACCAGGACTCTGTCCAAAGTATGAGGAGCTTCAAAATATTCATATAAAAACTGATTTAAAAGATGATGGAATTTCCAATGAATTTATGAAATCTCATACAAGAGACAGCCTCACCATCCAAACTTATAAGTAGTAAGTACACTGGCTGTACTTCTTCCAAAACAAATTTATTCATTATTCTGGCAGCCCAGAGTATATTTAATATTCTTTGCCAACACCATAAATCAAATGCATCAATTTAAAAAATTTTACTTGATACAAATGATATTGTTCAATAATTTCTGTGTTATGAAAAAATACTTTTTTTCTTTGTAATAGAAACAAATATGGATCTCTTCTAGTCAGTTGGCCAGCTTGCTGTTGTTAAGTACCTTCGAGTCAGTTCTGACTCACAGCAACTCTGTATACAGTTTTCAAGGAGTGGCTGGTGGGTTTGAACTGTCAACCTAGCAAGTTAACAGTCTAGTGGTTATCCTACAGCACTACCCAGCTACCTTCAAAATTTCTTGGCATAGATAAGTGAGCACTTCCATCGTTGTATTCATTTGTTGAAACATCTCAAATAGTGTCCATTAATTTCTGGCGCCTTGATTTTTTTTAGTGTTTTTTGTGCAACTTGGACTTCAGTACCATCAATTCTTGAACACACTGTTGTTAAGTGCCATCAAGTCAGTTCCAACTCACAGTAACTCTGTTTCTGAGGAGTGACTAGAGGGTTTGAACAGACAACAATGCAGTTAGAAGTCACGTGCTTACCCTACAGCATCATACCAGGACTCATGAAGTGGCTGGACATCAACCAATTCTTTATGGTGCAGTGACTCTGTATTCCTTCGTCTTTTGATGCTTCCTGTGTTGTTCAATATTTTGCCCATAGAATCTTTCAATATCAAGACTTAATTTTTTATTCTTTTTTTT